CTCCACAATGTAAAAGCAGTTCAGCTGAACTTCGAATTACTTTAATTGTACATAGCCCTGGCACGATAACACATTTTGCAAAACACTGCTGAAGAAAATATAGACAATAAACAATATTCAAACTCATGCAAAAAAAAAGCCCTATAAAGTAGAATTACACCCAAAAAACAACTTAGTAATGAGTTTGTAACTATACTGTTAGAGGTTTTTTGTTCAATCCTATGCAACTCAAATCTGATCATAGTAGCCAACAGAAAAAGAACTACAAGTTTCCCCATTAGTACTACGTAAATATTGAACTAAAATTATAGTTCCATCTAACAAGTATTGAACGATAAGTAATTATATAGTAATTATCATGACAAGCCTAGATATACAATACATTTGCCTCGTCTGTTAGTTGAGCTGAAAGATCATAACAAAATTAGACTATACTCTAATAGTGTTTAGAAAAATTAAGATTCAGTACAAAACTAGTCCAGGAGCAAATTTACATTTGATAGAAGACAGAATTAAGACAATAATCAAATGCATTTCAGAACATGTTTTAGAAGTGTAAGCAACATGGATAATTTTAGAAAACAAGGTATTTTGTCATTTGCAGTATACTTTGACATAATTGACAAGTATAATTAACCACAAGAAAATTAAATTACATTTTAGTCTTAAAATCATCACCTTAGTACTGAAATTGATGTTGAGTATTGAGCCTTTCCTAGTATCAAATGTGAGTTTGAAATGTTTATATTCCTTTGATATCAGTTTGCCCCAGGGCAGCCGTGGCTACAGTTGTGGTGGTTTGATTGAATGCACTGTAAAGTGCTTTGAATGTATTATTGCATTATTATTAACACTTGTTTGAAGATTATTGATACTTTGCAGGTGATATCATCAACATTCCCTGATGTGATGCTAACTGGAAGCACTGCTTTCTTTTAACAAAATCTGACCAGAAAGGCTGACTTGGTCGGTTACAACAGGTGAGATGATTTGGCGCTTAAACCAGTCTGTCACTAGCTAGTTTTTCAGCTCTTTTTCAGTTAGTCATTTGTACCTTTTTTGTTGAAAATCAAACCTCAAATCCTAAACAGGACCATGAACGCTCGTATTGATCACACATCACTACTGAAAATGTGTTATTTAAATCCATTTTGTATTTTTTCTGGAGTTTGCAGACTATATTAAAACATTTTTGGTAGCTTTTGCCAATGTGTGAATTACGTCATCATGGTAACTACTAAACAATAGAGATTCACGTACAACACCCTAAGTGTTATGTCACTGCAAAATATCAGTTGTAGCTTTGGGGATTTCCTATTGTGATAATTCAAATTAAAATTGTCTTTAGTGAATGAATCCCACAGCCATAGTTCAGGTTCAAAGTCGTGATTATAATTACCACACATCAGGGGTGAAATTATGACACAGGAGATTATCAGAGCAAAGTCAAGTCTGAGGTGATAACAAGCGCATCTAGGGCCAAGCATTAGGTCCACATTATTCTCATTTACAAGTTGGTTTTCATGATTCAGCGTATCCTTTTGTAGGAATTGTATTTAAGGTTCCTATATTACAAAAAATTGACTCTTTTGAGTTTTAAGCCATATTAGAACAGAGTTTGAGAGAAGAACTCAGCGGAAATATGCAGGGTTTGTGTGTTAAACATGTGTGAATGAAGCAATACACAACTCCAGGTATGTTTATGATGTGGAAATAACATTATAACCTAATCAGAAAATAGCCTAATATGGGCTCTTTAAAGGAACAACCATTTATTTGCTTCTAATATCAAGAAAATTTTATTCAAACTTGAGGATGAGGTGACCAAGAGGAAAAAAGATCTGGTTACTAATTTCAACTTCCAATTCAGTTATTAACTATATATTAAAGTAATAGCTCTCTTCTTATGAATATTTCTAAGCTACTCTTCCCCATTTGAGTCTAACCCAGGAAAACTTACACCAAAAGGGACACAAAGGCCGCCATAGCCCCATTGTTCGGGTCTTTGTGAAGCAGTGGACGCCCAGTGCTTCTGCTCCTCAACATTTGGCTGTAGTTTTTGTAAGGAGACCTATTGTTAACAGCAGGGGTTACGTTCACATGGAAATCTACTGGGCGTGATTGGGCTCTCTGGGGAAACATCAAAACACATGGGCTGGCAAACAAAACATTACCTCTCCTAAGACTATTATAATACAGCCACAACGATGTCAGATCAATAACACAATATATTAAATTATTATTAATAGGATTGGCAAAAGTATTGAAAATCAGATACTAATCAATACTAAAACAAGTTTCGAAACTAGATACTGATTTGAGCAAGTATTGATACTAAAAATGTCACATTCATTGGACACAAATGAACCTTTCCTGAATAACTTGAGAACCATCTTCTTGATTCTTATACTTGTTTTGATACAGCATAGATACACATAGACTAGAACAGGGGTGGGCAAACTACGGCCTGGGGGCCGTATGCGGCCCTTTAAACCTTTTAATCCAGCCCGCCGAACTGGAATAAATTACAATAATAAACCTTGTTGATGTTTTATTTGTCATGCATTTCCAGCGTTTCCCAGTAGATGGCGCACTATATATACATTGAGTTTCGGCGTATTATGTTGGTCGCAATGCTTTATTTTTTTAAAAGTGTTCTTACAGGAGTTATTCAGACCATGAGTGAAGTAGTTGGTGCTTAAGATATAAGACTGTACTGCTTCCAGTTTGAGTTGGTAAAAATCAATCAATAAAACCTGTGATCTGTAAGTTGTATTAGTTAATATGTAAAACATTTTGGAATCAGGTTTATACTGCACTCACAGGTGTGTATCTGTGGTTGAATGGTGTGAGCTTTGTTATTAAGCTGTTATCAGTCATATTTGAAAACAGTGAAGTCATGATATACATTCACTCGTGGTGTGCAGTGGAACAGGTCTCAACAGTTTTATGTGTTTTGAATCTTTCACAGTAGTGATGAAACGTGTAGCGCATCTGAAATCTTAGGTAAATGTGAATAAGAATGTAATGAATCTGAGCTCTTAACACGTTATGTCCTGTCTTCTGTCTGGCCCTTCAGTCAAATTTTAGGACCCTATGTGGCCCGCGAGCCAGAAAGTTTGCCCACCCCTGGACTAGAATATGCCCATGGACCACTATGGAACATGCCTGGAAGACTGAGCGAATACACAGATATAATTCTCATGGCAATATAGAAGAAATTTTACAATTTAATGTTGAAAATCATAATCTATTGTCTAAAGAGAGTGATTTTTTTTTTTATCATCATGGTATCTGAATTGGTATTAGGTATCAAATCTATTCCCTAGTATCAAAAAACCACAAGTTCTTTTAAAAAAGGGTTTTTGAATCCATTGTTGTATTGAAATTGTCAAAGTATAAAACTAGTTTATCAGGGTTGCAAGAATAATTGTGATCAAATTGAAACCCAATTTGAATTTAATCGTTGACAAATGTTGGGATTCATGATTGCACTACATTACAACACAAATCTGCATTGACAATATTTATTTTGCCAGCATTTGTCTTAATCTTGGACAGAACTGATAGTTTGCAGCTGAAATCATCAACATTCTCTGGGAGTGTGATGCTAACTGTAGGCTCTGCTCTGTCTGAAGCGCTGTGACTCAAGATGTTACTTTAATCTGATTTTTGTTTTACCATAATCTGGTGAGAATAAATTGACAGGGATACAACAGGTGAGGTGGTTTGTGTGTGTAAATTTAGTCACTTTGAGTTGCTGAAAATCAAACACCTAAACAGGACCATGAACACTTGTGGAAATGTGTTATTCAGTTTTCAGACACTTTCACTTTTTCAGTAGTTATTGCTATGTGTGCAATGCATTGTGTCTCCAACCCACCATACACATACAGACAGAACACCCCCATTGTGATGTCACAGCAAAGTATCAATAGATTTGTGAATGTTGTGATGCCATCTGAAACCCAGTGATAATGAAATGAAACATTTAGCAATACCTTCTTCCCCATATAACTTTTTAGACCTAGTAACACTTCTCCAATGCTACAAGACTATACTAAAGTATAACCTGAGGACATGTTTTTAATAGGAAAACTAAACATCAGTTAGGAATAAACACATAATTGTAATTATACTAACTGTAACTATTCTAACTACATCGCTAATGTCAACTCTTAATGCATTATTCAACCAGGACCAGCAATTCTTATTACCAAACCGGGTACATGGAGGACAACAGTAGCTACAAGTGTCAACAGAAAACCTTGTGTAGAGTCTTTTGTGTGAAAACTTGTACCAGATTAAAGTATGAATTGTGTCATTTTCTCCTATCACAGAAAGGGTTGTACAGTAAATATGTGCATTGCAAAATGGGCAAAGTTAACATATGTTTAAAAATAAGAAGAAATTATCATAAGAAGAAACTAAAAAGACTTCCAACTAAAATGTATATCCTGTATATTTCTTTTATTCCATATATATTTGTCTGTCAGCGGTGTTTATAAAAAATATAATTTATGCAATAGAAAATACCCCCCCCATCCCCACACTTATAAATATCATTTGTTTACCATCCTGCAGATTTAAGCCATTTTGAGAGCCACAATGACTTTAAACTCATTAAACAATAAGATTTAATACACTAAGATAGATAAGACATTTTGTACGAGGAAAAAGCTTGATTTTAGAGTGTGAGGCTGCAGTGTACAGCACTGATGTCCTTGTTTACAGTCTAAGAGGTCAGGTGTCAATATACAAAATAAAGCAAAGAAATTACACACAAAAACTCTTGTTGAAAAAGAAGCAATTTAGTCAAATAAATCAATAATTACTTCAACGATCTGGTTAAGAGCATCCTTTCTTGGCCAAAGTAATAGTTGAGTCCCTGGCTCACTTTGGAGGTGATAAACAAGTGTAGGACGCTTATTGTGAAACCCCATGTTTTTGACGCGTCGGTAAAAAACATTAAAAATAAAGTTAAGTAAAACGATACGTACCCAGTAATCCATGATGAGGCCGTAGATTCACAGCGAAGTCCCTGTTTGTGGCACAGACCGGTGGATAAAGTGAACTGAAGTAGCTCCCAGTTCTGGCCACTCTGCTGAGAGGAAGTGCCCGAAACCACACTGCGCATGAGCAAAAGGGCAACGTTCAAAAACAAGACAAAATCGTACACTCGCTTTTAAAATACAAATAACACAATATATTTAATTTATTTCACCAATTGAATATTTCAACAATAAATCCGGTCGCGGGTAGAGACGAAGAAAATTGATGCATGGTGAATGAATGGTTGAAACTAATCTTGCGACCATGGCACAAAGTACGTATGGGCTAATCTCTTTTCTTTCGGTGGTCCGTAAACGCATCGCTGTTGAATGCGTGCGTGAACTACGCCACGGTGTGTCCGGCTTTTAGAACTACAATCAAAAACAACAAAAACACTATTGGTGTAGGCAGCGAAAAAATTTAAATATAAATCTAGCCTGTCTATTTCGTGAATGTGTTACCATGCTAATTGTTGACTGAAGACTTTAACTAAGGCTTTTTGATTTAAATTTGACGTAGAGTACGTCTGATGACGTAGTGACGTCATTTGTATTCAAGTCAAAAGCCCAATAAGCAGAGCCTTTCTTCGCCGGGTGCGGTGGCGCGCGCCTGTAATCCAAGCTACCGGGAGGCTGAGGCTGGCGGATCGTTTGAGCTCAGGAGCTCTGAGCTGCAGCGGACTATGTCGATCGGGTGTCCGCACTAAGTTCGGTATCGATATGGTGCTCCTGGGGGAGCCCGGGACCACCAGGTCGTCTAAGGAGGGGTGCACCGGCCCAGGTCGGAAACGGAGCAGGTCAAAGCCCCCGTGCCGCTCAGTAGTGGGATCGCGCCTGTGAATAGACGCTGTAGTGCAGCCTGAGTAATACAGCGGGACCCAGTCTTTTCCTCTTTATTTCACAAAACACAAACAATTAACACATGACACCTTTTAATGTTGTTTTGCCTGTGTTTTCCGGTGAACAGTGGGACTTTATTGGTCCCTTACTGCCTTCTACTGGACCATTGGACATTTCTCCTGGTGCTGCCTAAAAATAATAGTAATATCTCTGATATGTCCTATTTATTGCTGGTTATTTCTGAGTCATGTGCTATGTGACTTTCCATAAATGAATATAAACTCAAACAAAAAGCGCAACAACAAGTGCTGTCTCCTTTTGTCCAGTAGGAGGGAGCATAGGACAGACCAAACTCCACTCTTCAGCAGTAATAGACTGACGAAGGCACAGGATCAGTCACAACATCTGCACAAATAACATAAAAACCTGTAAAGTGTTTAGTGTTTGAAGTCCATGAAATAAAGAGGAAAGTGAAAAGACTGGGTCCTGCCGTTACTCAGGCTGCGCTATTTTTATTATATTATTATTTTTAACTAATTTAATTCATTCAATAACAAAGTTGTAAAAAATAGTATACAAAAGTCACATTTTGCCATATACCAGGGGTTTTACATACATTCAAATATTTAGTAGTTTGTACATACAGTAATTGTTTCCATGCCCCTTTTGTTAGTGGAGCTACCTAAAAGTTCAATATGAGAAAGAGTGTCAGAGTGTTTTTTGATTGCTATATTTATACTTGTGCAGGTAGAATTTTTGAAGATGTCCAGAACAATGTGGAGTATGAGCAGATCCAAAAAAAAAAAAGTCTGAAGAGTCTCTGGAGAGTTTTATTTAATCATATAGTGATTAGCAGGATAATATTTACTCACAGTTTTAAAAGAAATCTTTTTGTGTGTTTGTTATTAAATATTTGTAGCAAATTGCCCAAACTAATATCTCAGTATCACAAAATTATTACAATACAATACTACATGTAGGACAGTAATAAGTATAAGTGTAAGTAGTAGTAGTAGTACTTGTAGTACTTGTAGTACTAGTATAAGTAATAAGTAATAATAATTCTCTGGAATAGTTTGCCAATGTTTTTGTTAGAGTTTTTGTGTCAAGTGGATTTTCTCAGTTTCAGTGTCTGTGGGACTAGCTCGAGAGGCCGGGGTGAGTGTAGATGTGCACTTTGGAATGACATTATGCTGGTATGGGATCAAAAATCATAGCATATTGTTTTGGTGTAATTAGAATTGTATAAAAACTTAAAAATTCAGAGTCATACTCAGTCACTGTTAAAAAGCTGTACCACGAAGATTATCCGTTTCTCTATCCAGATGGGAAAAAAATTATGATTTATTTTTATTAAAAATATTTCCGGTGTTCAATATTATTTACTCATGGGGTTAAAATATATTAGGAATTGTGCTAAAAGAACTTACATGCAAGTTTGTCAACACTGTAATTACAACTTAATATGAAATTTAAGCCACCAAACCTAGAGAAAATGTAGTGAGGAATAAAGATCCAAATTGAGACAGGATTTTTAAGAAGATTTACCCAAATAAATTTTGAAAGTATTGGTCAAAGTAGTGAAGTCTAAGATATTAATATGTGCATCATGTTCATAGTAATTCATCACTACAGTGTTCTTGATATAATGTGTTCTGTTTTTCCACAGAAACATTAGATCTGAATCAAAACAGGGAAAACAATAGGTATAGCCATTATGATAACTGGTGTGAGCTCAAGATGCAAGAGTATTATTTTTTTCCTTATGCTGGAACATTGGCCAATTCAGTTGAAAACTGAACTGTGGAGTTTTCCATTTTCTTCTTGTAATCAGCATCAAACTCCTCATTTTGAGCCACAGTGAAATAGTTTTTCCAGTCTCCAACCTTTCCTGCCAAACAGAAACACATTGCATTATTTTCCTAACTGTCATTATATGATATGATATTTTACTATAAGCTTACCCTTTCTCAATATGTCTAGTTTAAGTCCTTGAATTATTGTACAGCCGACAGTTGGATTTTCTTTCATTTCATCAAACTGCACTTTGGCTTTGATTATGGCCTTTTCCTCAGAGGAACGAATTAAACCAAGGAAGCTGCAAAGTCGATCAATTTCTCGTTTTGTGTCCTGAAACAAAACACAACTAAATCAAAGGCTCCTACTGCATTTGTGTCTGCCTTTAAGTCAGAATAAATACCTTCACCATATCTTCATAAAAGACAAAATGCAGGTTGGAGTAGGTCTCTTTTTTCTTCCACCAGTTGTTAATGTGGTCGTACCAAGATCCATGCATCGCTGCATCAGGAAAACATACTGTAAGTCACAGTCTTTATGAGTAATTGATTAGTGCTCACATACTCTTGCCCTCTAGAAATCTCTGGAAGAAGCTGCTCCATTCTCCTGGCTCTGGGTGGAATAAGATCATCTGGTCGAAGTGGTAAAAAGAAACCATCACGTCCTTCGGGTTACGAGCCACATACACAATCTGCACAAATAAAACAACACCCAATTCAATGAATAATGGTCATATTCATTTTTCTAGTCACACTGAGAAAATGTTACAGCAGAGTGAGCCCTAAAACACAGTTGTCACCAATGAAAACTTTAGATGTCCTCATTATGTAGTGCACATCTTTAGTGCTTCTTTTGAAATTGTACAAATATTGTATAGACTAAGCTTAAGATGGTTTGTTTTCTTTGATATGAATACATTTTACATTTCTGTTGTCCAGATTCAGAGACAGAGACTTGAATGAAAAAGTGTGACTGTGCCCTGGTCTCCCCTACATGTGAGCTTCATGCACTGTATAGTGGAGCTGTGGGCTTCAAATCATCTGTGGATTATTTCACATATTGAACCAGGTGCCCTTTCAGTGCTTTGTTCCTTGTACACCTGTTTAAGAATAATCTGTTTATTTTATTCATGTTGAATGCACAAGTACCTTGCAGTTCTTCTCCCAAAAAGACTTTGGCACAAACTGAACAGGGAGGTGAGTCTTGAGGAGTCGAGGAGATGTGAGCGAAGAGTTTGCATGTTGGACTCCGGTGTAGACGGTCCCTGATCAGACAACACATGTTATATTGTGATTGACAGAAGGTTAGACCTTTTAAGAGCTGTCCGTTTACCATCTTTCAGTGGAACGCTTATCTCTAAATGAGGAATCTTTCTAAATATGTGAGAGGAAGGTAGGTTTTCTTGACGTATTCCAGAACACAGCAAATCAATTATGTAACTCATCCAGATTTGTCCTACAAAACAAAAGGGACACTTAAATATGAACTTAACAATATTGTTTTTCTTAGAGACAAACCTGATTTGGGAAAGCTTGCTATCAATATGTCATCTGGCTTTGCCTGGAAATTCTGAAGATTGTCCCAGTTGTCTGTGTAATAATTATTCAACCAGATGCCATGGAACTCAAACAGTTCATTTCGTGAAAACCGCTCAGGATTCCTGCAAACAGAACAGTGCAAATAATGAATTATGCACCAATACTGTGCACAGTCACAATCCCTGTTTTGGTCCTCATTTCAGAATAGATTACTATGAATTTTAAAATTAAACAGACAGAAAATAATTTCTGAATGGAAACAAAAACATTAAGACTTACCTCATTATGAAAGAACTGATTTAGACTCGTTTTATCTCTGTCTCAGTGGCAAACCGTGTCCTCAGAACATAGGCTTTCAGCTGCTCACAAAGTGACTTCACACAGCCTCAGGGCTGGCAGCTGTGGCACTGTGTCCGTTTGGGTAAAAAATAAGTTGTTGGACTTGTTGTTGCATCTTTATCTATTCCCCTACACCTTAAAAAAAAGTTGGGTTATTTTGATGACCCAACTGCTAGGTCAAACAGTGTTAGGTCACAGGTGAGACGTGAGACCCAGCCTGTTGGGTTAGGGGGAAAGGGGGCATGGCTTCCACAACTGCCCAGAGAGAAAACATCTTTTAAAAGGTATTTAACATGTTTTATGTTTTTATTTTATTACTAAGACTTAATTTATAACTTTCTACAACTTTCCACAACTGACTATTCTACAATAGTATTCTACCATTCTAATCCCACAATAGACTACAGTCCAGTAGACTGAGGTGTGCAATGCCTGGAGCTCCTGTCAGCACTGAAGTTTCTATTACTTCACTGGGCTACAGAAAGTATTGGTACAAGTAAGTACAGTGTGTATATTTATTAGCTTTATACTATAGAAAATGTGTACATTCTTTGCTGTAATATGCTTTTAATGTAAGTATGTCTGTATTTTTCCCCACAGTGGATCTTCAACAGACAGAAGTGTCCATAGCCCAGAGCTCTGGACTGAGATGTCCCCCAGCATGGATTGTGACATCGGCAAGTTGCTTGGCCCAAGCATTTTGAGCTGGAGTTCAAGGCGGTCTGTGTCAGGCTTCTCCAGAAACTGCTGTTCCTCCAGATTTACGCTCCTTCCCTATGCTGCTTTGATGACAGCCCTCTCTCACTTTGCAGTAAATTTCATACTGCCCTAATCAAATCTTCTGTCCAGCTCCACCGATAAAATGTCAATAGGCTCAAAAAAGCTACGTTGCCAATCCACTAGTGTGCCATCCGCCACTGCCTCTGGCTCTCTAGTTTGGTGAGGGCAAGCTGGGGTTTTGCTCACTCTAAGGGGCGTGATGTCTGGCATTTTCAGAGAGTTTTGTAATGCCCAGGTTTTAACCTTGTGAATCAGCTCATCCACAACTGCATCATCCCAGAGTGTGGCTATTTGTTCTCCCAGCACTGTGCATTCCAGTGCACCTTGTTGTGGCACTCTGTAGGCTTGTGACATCTACTTTGTAGGGCTCGAACAGAGCATGGCTAAAGACCGAACTATATTTTCCCTTTTAAAGCCTGTTTGTATAGTCCCCCGATCTTTTCTCTGCTGTCCCCCCCCGACACTCTTGTCATCCTTCAGCGCATGCAGTGTAGTCAGGAGGTTAACTGCAGTGACGCGTTTAATGGACATGTCACGGATACACCACGTTGCTGGGCAAAGGCCTAAGATGTTGACAGCAACTTCATCACAGCCAAAAAAAGATTGGTAGAGCTGTTTTCCTTTTGATGCCTCTCTGATCACAAATGAGACAACAAAGTTCAAAATGTCAGCCACAAGACTAACTTGTGTTTGATCAGTTTGATCATTTTAAAGTTATTTTATTGTTTATAAATCTTTTAATGTCTTATAAGTCTTTTAAGTCTTATTTCTTTATCATATGAGCCCTCTTGGACCCTGAGGTCCTCAGGTAGTCATCTTTTAATTCCCATGTTGTGTTAAATCCAGGAAAGGTTATGTATGGCTCCAGAAAGGCTCAATTAAAGAATGGGTCAAAGTCAGAGAACATTTTAATACAACTATCTCTACTACCATCAATAAGCTTTCCCATTCATAAATAACTTTCTCAAATGTCACCAGTGCAATATTCCCACTTACAAGTATCACTGCGTTTCTATAATACAATTTTATAGTCCTCACATCAAAACAATAATAGGCAAATACTATTTTGTATTGTTCTGTCTGTGTTCTGTTGCTGTTATATTTCTTGTTATACTCTATTGTCTCTCTTGTTTCTTAAACTGCGCATGCACTTTGCCCTTTGACCACTTTTTATATTAGCCCCTCGTGTTGAGGATATGACGTGTGTCTTCTGCTGTCAACATGGAGCTGAGAGCAAGTTCTTTACGAACACATTTGATATTGTTGATTATTTTAAACAGCAACTTGGGAGGACAATGTCAACAAACAGGTGGGGCATATGCTGTGTTAAATAGAATAGTGTTTTGTCTCTACATTTTAAAAATAAAGCTGTATCATGGTACTTTTTATGCTGCTGTCACCAACATGTCTTATCAATCTATAATATGATCTTAATGTCTGATATTTCACTGTTTGATTAAATTTAAAACATGCACTACCAGTCAAACGTTTGGACGTTTTAACCTTTTAATTTATGTTTTTCTTTATTTCCATGATTATTTACATTGTAACCACAAATTAATACATGGAATGTAGAAAACAAAAACTAAACAAAAAATAAGACGTGTTTCAGATTTTAGATTTTGAAAAATATCCACCCTTTGCTTTGATCACTGCTTGATAATTGACATTCCTTGATCCTGACATGGCACAGAAAGCAGTAAACTTAATAAAAAACAACATTGAATGAGAAAGTGTGTCCAAACGTTTGACTGGTAGTGTACTTTTTGTAAACAGTTGCTGCTTTAAAGATGGATCAGGCTTTGATAACATTTCAGAACCAGCTGGCAGAAGAGGTGCAAGTCTACTACACCTCAGACTACTGCTATAAGGTAAAAATCATGTGCAAATATCATCACCATCAAACTTAATAACAGTTAAAAACAGAACATGACAATTAAAAAGCACTCCTCCAGCAACAGCCAAACCAAACCAGTGTCTCCAGCTCAGACTGGTACCTGGTGGCACTAAGTTTGACATCAGTCAGGTTCTCAGTCTTTAAAGGTGCACTGTGTAACTTTTCTGGTCGAGGATCCACCACCTGCTGTGTCTAGGGAGATGAAATTGCAATGCCTGGAATGTTTCATATCATGGCATTAAACTTATCTATCTCCATAGAGACAAACACATGATGCCAGTTACAGGTCAAATTTGTGGAGACAGTGAGAGTAATAATGCATGCAATGCATTTTTAAAGTAATACTGAGGAATAAAACACCTTCAATTAATAAATGTATGATATACAAGTAAAATGCCATACTGTGGGACATTTTAGGCAAAACGATAGCATCATGGAGATAAACAAGTAGATAAACCACCCATCACTAATACACACACACACACCGTTTATATTGATGGTTGAAAATAAGATGGTTGAATTGTTTTGCTAAAGACACAATGCCAGAACTGTGATCCAGCCGTTAAGGCAACCTCTCTGTTACCTAAGTCACTGTCACCAGAAAAGTTTCAACCTTTCCAGACCGCTGTGGAAGGTAGTACCTCCAGCGGTCCAATTTGGACCCCTAAAAGAGGACAATATGGTTCGCTTTACGCAGTGCAAACACTCAGGGTTCACACTGTTCTGTCCCATACTGGCCCTATGGAAACAAGGCTTTAGTCTTGAGTGGGCTTTGAAGCGCTACAGATTTGAACTTTATCTACAAATGTATCCATGGAGTCCATTGCCATTTGTCCCAGTCTGTCCCTGCCAATGTCTATTTGACTGTTTGAGTTAGTTGTGAAAACAAATGCATACACTGGCAGTAAACATTATAAAAACACACATTAACATTTGATGGTTAAGGCTTTTCTTTCCCCCCCCAGTGTGTGCACCAGCTTTTGACCTCAGTCAAATCAGACAACAGCAGTTCATCTGCGATCATCAGCACCAAATTCACTTTAACAATTCAAGTGGAGACCAAAACCAGAAACAACTCATTGTGCAAGTAAGTGAAGTAATGTGAGCAGCTGATTTGGCAGTTTTTAGCCTCCCAGTCCATGCATTAAACAGGAGCATATTTCTTCCCAAATATGCCCTGTTAAACTGAATATACTGTATCTCACTTTCAATGTATTTGTAATATCTACATTATCAGCAACTTATCCAGGTCCAGGTTTTATATGGCAGTCTAGGAGCAAAGATGCCAAACCTTCCACATTCCCAGACACTTCCCTCAACACTGTGGCAATACAAGTCTAAGTATTTGTAATGATAATGATACATAGAAATCTAAAGGATTCTGTTAAAGAAATATTCCATGAAATTTGACTCATATGAGCTTTTAGCCATAATGTTACCTCCTCAAGAACATACCCGGAGTTGTGTTTTGTTTCATTCACATTTCATTAATTTGAGTAATTCTGGATTATTAGGCTGTCTACATCTTCAAAGATCAAAATTCTCTGTTCCACAACAAATCAAAAGGTAAAAAGTAGCTGTTAACTTATTAAAGATAAGCAATCTGATCATGAAGAACTGACTTAGTGTTCTTGATCAAGTTCCTAACATAAAATTACAGTTGCTAGTGTCACTTTGTTAAAAATCAAACTCCTAAACAGGACCATGAATGCTTATATTGATCAGAAGCTCCTGAAAATGTGTTGCTTTAATACATTTTGTATTTTTGACTATATTTGCTAAGGTGTGCATTGTGTCACCATGGTAAGACATACATGTAAGACACCCCCAGCATGAAGTCACAGCAAATTATCAATATAAGGTGTAATCAGGTATGCTGTACCTCAGTTTGGACACCACTGCTTCATGTAATTTTGCTGACTCAGTTCCTGTCACATAATGGGAGTGTGTCTCTTAATTGTCTCTGTTCTGTAATATACTGTCTTTAGTGAACGCAGTGGCATCCAGTTATTGCTACATCAGCCTGAAACATTATTTACAAGTCTGGGGCTGTACTTCTGACCTAGTTCCATAGACTCGATCATGCTCTGCTTTCAACTACTGCCCCCTATTGATCACAAGGCTTTTTGGGGTTAATAAGACTTGACTGTATTGACAAATTGGGTCATTAACCATTTAACTTACAGGTTTCTTCGGGGATGTGAACTAGTGCTTAACTGTATTCAAAACAACAGCAGACAACAGAGCAAAGGCCATGTCACCTGTGAACACATCGTGATCTTATAGCAGCATCTGTCCAGCCCTTTTGTGTCTTTTTACCTTCACTTTTCCCATATTATTGCCTCCGAGATCAATTCGAGGTCTCTAACCAGGCTATTGATCTCCCCTTTCCCCTTTGAAAAAAAACACTCCAAGTGATAGCTACTATGTCATCCCAGCACTGGATCAATACAGACATGTAATGCAGCTTTTTGGAGCAGAAAACAGATATGGTGAAGCTATAGGTGTCCATGTTGTGTTACAAGCGCTAGGTGGCACTGTTGAGCTGTGAAGTAGTTGGAAAGCAGGCCATGGAAGTAGCTACAGTACATGAATCCATTCTACAATACTGTACCAGATCGAAAGGCTACTTATTTAATGCAAAAATCTTTTCTGATTAAAATTAAATTGGAGAATAGGTGTGTTTAAGTGACTATTTACATTCTTTCAGGTGGAGCCAAACCTATGGAGAAGGGGGACATTACTTGATCAACATTTCAGGAGTCCTCAGTGAACCAAGCTGCAGCCAGATCGTCCAGAAATCACCTCACAATGTTTACCTGCGTGAGTATAACTAAGAGATTCATGAGTTATCCTGTTTTACAAAGGTATATTTTGTGTGAAGCATTTACACAATAATATACTTGTAAGTCTAAGCGGTTAAATTGACTACTCTGAACAAGGAATTATTAAAAATGAACTAGTATCAATTATACTTTGTGATTTTGATGGGAAAAAACAAAAGAAATTAGGATTTTCATTATCTACATGCATAAAACTAGACTAGATAACTTTAGAAAACAATAATTTATTAATTAGTTATAGACATGTAATTTGTTAAACCTCATAAGAAAATATATATCTCACTCAAAAAAGTAAAGGTATTGAGTAAAAATGTTGTTCATCAGTAATTGTTGTAATAGGCTTAAAATGCATATGACACATTATTATGATCCTCTAATTTTGACTTAATCTGGTGGGATTATAACTGTATAACTGTAAATATAAATGATAGTTTTACAGCAATCAAGAAGCAAGAAAAGTTGAAAAATAAGATGAAAATTACAGGAAGTAAAAAGTTCAAACATACTGAAGACATCACAAACAATTTCGGCACAATTTACACAAAAGAAAGACATTTTTTAAATTCTTTATACATGATTTCAACATAATAAATATGTTTTTATATTTGTATTTGTCAGATAATAACTTCTGTGTACATTAGAGGAGTTTTTATTAGTAATATTTATGAATTTCCCTCGTGTTTTCCAACACAATTTTCAACCAGGACTTAAAATTTTAAACCTAAAAAATGTCCAATTTGGTAAAATTAGTGTGAATGTTTTTTTTTACAAAAATCTTAAATCTAATGGTCTTAAAAGTGTTTTAGCAAAATGAGTAGCCTATCCTATCATAGGCACTTTAAATAAATCCTAATCTAACTAAACATACACTGGTATTTCATTATTTTTAAGAAAAAGTAATGAATTTTCCACTCCATGACACACAATAACTAGCCAGGCTGGCACCACCACTTTATTTCATTTGTCTGCAGTGAGTAGGTCAGGAGTCAGAATACACAAGACAGTTTGCATGAACCCAAGAAGTTGTAGACCACGCACCAGCCAATGAGTGAAGAGCTGAACCAACCTGAGTTGCGACAGCAGACTGCATACACTATCCTCCTTTGGACTTCCTTTTTCAAATACAAACCTCGCATTTTTTATAGCACCTTTAGTTTGCAAGTTCATCTCGCAGAAATGACAATGATGTTCACTCTCTGCTTTGTTTCTTGTTGTGGCGGCAATTACTTGGACACCACTGAGTGTTCCGGCGCATTACAGACGTCACAACCAAATAGCAGGGATTGGTTACATAAAAAAAAGTACCTGCCTACTTTCGAGCGAACGAATCCTAATGCTGCGAAGTCAGACGGTTTCCACGAATGAATCAGGCTACATAATGACAGCTGGAGGCCTGGAAAATGTGCGCATTGCTTCTCACTGCAAATCATTTCCATCCATCTCTGGAGACATGATCCGTATTGATCAGATGCGACGATGGCTTTGTTGAAAACTGGATGAAACAAAAGCATTTCTGTTTGTTTTGAATGCCATCTGTAGCAGCAAAGCACTGTGGGTAATACATTAGGCAGTGTCGAAGGATTAGGCCATAATGGGATTTTGAAAGCGTCTCTCTCCATAATGTACACTCTACTTAACAATATTGCAGATTATGTTGGATCCGACTTTTAAGGCCAAGTAGCCATTAACTGTAGATATATGGTCCAGTGCATTAGCTCCTCAGACCGGTGATTACAGAGCCCTCCCATAGGACCCTCTCTGCTTAAGTAATGGTGGGGTCAGCTGCTGCGGACAGGTTAGACTTGCCCTGGTAGGGAATTTTCAAAGTTTACTTCATTGTCTCTGATTGATCGACTCTAGACTCCGTGAGGTCATCTATTGAACATGTTTTGTGCAGAGCTCCTTCAGATCTGTGCCTTTAATCTTGTTTGTAATGTATTTTGCAATGTACCGCAAACCACAAGCCACCTGCGAGGGGGTTAATTTGAACTAAGAAATTCACGATATCGACCAATACAAGTGTTTAGTTTGACTTCTGTATTGATGAAGCAAATTTAATCAGGTTATTGTAGAATGAATTCCCCTGAGGATTTTGAGTTTGTGGAAATTGCATTTGAGATGGTGACAAGTGTTGTTAAGGTTAGCTCTAGTCTTCACAAATTTGGTAATAGTCGTGTGACACTTAAAGGTGCACTGGGTAATTTTTCTGCCTCCTGCTTGTCTACATAAATATGGTATAGTTTTGCCTAGAATGTCCCACAATCAAATTCTTAATTTCATGAACAAAAAGAAAACAGTTTAATCACACTTAAGGTAGTCCAATTTATTCCTCCCAAGTTTGGCAGAGTATTGCCTTTCCCAGGGAGACCCAAAGCTGATCAGTGACAATTTAAAACAGAAATAATTACTGAATGTCATGAACACAGCCTATTGTAGTTTTCTGGCAAAATGTTGGTAATATCTTGAATGACCAGTGTCCAGTGCTGAGAGCTTTATGGTGTTTTTATGATGTTGTTGATTGAGCTGTTGGGACTTCTCAGCTGTGATTAAGTGACTGCTCTGTGCTCTGAGAAGAGAAAAGAGAGAGGGGAGAGGAGAGACAGAAGAGGGAGAGAGAGAAAAGGTGAACGACAGAATGAGAGAGATATAATTAGAGAGAAAGAGAAGGGGAGAGGGAAAAGGAAGAGTGAGAGGAGAGAGAGGGAGTCTGGGTCAAAACGGATTCTTTTGTTTGTTTTTCCACTGCCCTTATCCTTGACGTAACAGAGTCAGTTGTATCGAATGAGTTTTATGTGTTATTGTGATTTTATAATCAGAGCCTTGGTTGTAAATCTACCAATGGCATAGTATTGACCATAAGGTAATAACAACAGAAATGCACCAGTTTCCTAAAAAGAGATCAGATTCTGAGCCAAATATCTGGCAGATGTAACATTTGTCAATAGGCAAATTGTGCTCTTCTGTTTTTAAAACATTGATGATTAAATGTTAATTGGCAAAATGTGTCATTGTTATCCCCCAATCATAAAACTAGCTCACAAAGTGAGAATTACTTCCATCCATCTATTTTCTTTTGCTTGATCCGGGGCTGGGTCGCAGAGGCAGCAGTCTTAGTACACTTCCTCCAGCTCTTCCAGGGATCCAAAGGTGTTCCCAGGCCAGCCTCGAGACATAGTCCCTCCAGCGTGTCTTCCCTGGGGCCTCCTCCCAGTGGGACATGCCCCGAACACCTCCCCAGGGAGGCATCCAGGAGCCATCCGGAACAGATGCCCGAGCAACCTCAGCTGGCTTCTCTCGATGTGGAGGAGCAGTAGCTCTATTCCGAGCTCCTCCCGTGTGACTGAGCTCCTCATTTAATCTCTAAGGGAGCGCCCAGCAACTCTGAGAGGGAACTCATTACGACCGCTTGTATCCATGATCTTGTCCTTTTGGTCATGACCTAAAGCTCATGGCCATAGAAGAGGGTATAGGAACGTAGATTGACCCATAAATTGAGAGCTTTCCCTTTCGACTCAGCTCCCTCTTCACCACAACAATTCAAAACAGCAACCGCATCACGGCTGAAGCTGCACCGATCCGCCTGTCAATCTCATGCTCCATCCTTCCCTCACTCATGAGTATTACTTTGAATATTTAAATAGATTGACAATGTTGATATATTGGACTGAAAAGTTGGTGATTCAGTTGAATTCAGTTCTGGCTGGTGGGAAACAGCCTTTCATCCTGTTATTGACTGGTGGCACAGTGACTGACTGCTCTTTCCTCACGGTAAGAGGTTTGTGTGTTTGATACCCTGACCAGATCTGGCTTTTAGGTGTGGAGTCTGTAATCCTTCATCTGAGCTAAATAATTTAGACTTTTAATTTGGGCTTGCACAAATAAAGCACCTAAAACGTTCTTATTCCATAATGTTTTGTTAAACTTAACACAATAGTGTCTGTTATGGCAGCACATTTCTTGTAACCACTTTTACCACACAGATGCAAGTATGTCAGTATTAAAAAAAATATGGAAAACTTTAGTCTTCATAACAGTCACTTTTCAATCTTCCCTGTGGTTTATATAGTTTAAAGTTTTATCATAAATACATTGTCAAAGATGTTGTCATACATCAATGATTTGCAGCAAATGTGGTTTGTCCAGTAACCCCAAAGCTATTATAAAATAAACACTTGCTTTTGTCTGAAATTCCTCTTTCATTTGCTAGTCATGCTACAATTTCAACCAGATATTAAGACAGTAATATGCAGCTCTTGTCAATATGTCAAAATAAATATAACTACAAAGACAATTTCCAGCTCTGTCCATTGCCTCGTATTTGTATGCAGTCTGCTTGGTCCATAGCATAACATTATGCAGACCCTAGCATGACGCCCTCTGGTCATATACAGTCTTTACAGTGTGTTTCCTTTGTCCTGCTCCTCTGTGGACCCCATTCTTTGGAGCCTGGGGTCAGATCTCCCACACTGATGGTTTTGTGATGGATCATGACCAGGGCTTTTCCATTAGGTTTGTGTGTGTGAATTCTTGAGGCGTTTTTCTGTCATGGTTGACTGACGCAGCACCCAAGGGAGACCTCATGGGGTGATGTACAGTTTGTTTTGTTAATCTGGGCTTTTATCTGTACTCAGATGCTTTTGTGATACAGTGGGACGTGCAGAGGTCACATCACGGTCAAACAGGAGATAAAACAGGAGAAGATCTATCCCTGCTTAAATAGGTAGTTGTTAGTAGAATACAGTAAATGGGCATTATAAGACATGAAATAACTTAGACATCTACCATTTTTTGATGATTTAATTCACACATCTATCCCAAATTAGCTTGAAAAATATTGGAAGATATTTTTCTTTTTTAGTCAGTTTAGCCAGTCATTTTGATTTTGTGTTGTCTATTACAGTTTAATTTTAATTTCTCATTTATTATAGTGTGTTTATCCAATGTAAAGGGGATGTATTACTTCATGACATCACAAGAAACTGAGAGGAGAACTCAGCCTAAATATGCAGGATTTGTGCTTTAAACATATGTGAATGAAACAAAACACAACTCCAGGTATGTTTGTGATGAGGAAACATTATAAAACAGATCAGAAAATAGTGTATGAACCCTTTAATTTACACACAATACTCACAATATTCACACTTGTTCATGTATGAAAGTGAAACATTAGTGTTGATTTCTGATAAGTATTTGTAATATAATAGCCAAATTTTCTCCCTTTCCTTTTCTTCCAGCTCTCCTCGTGTCAACTCTGGTCCTTGTTTTTCTGTCTGTCTTGTTTGCAGCCGCTCCGTACATCTACAGGTAAGTGTTTTTCCTTTATATGAAAATCCCATTGATTCTGTCTTCCATCAAAACCAGCTCAGACCAAACTCATTTCCCGTTCACAGGAGGCGCAATACATCTAAGTTTATCAGGGCCATTTGCTGCAGAAGCCCTCAGTATTCAATGGACAATGTAAGTAACACTTGGACTGCTGCCTCGTAGATGAAACCTTTGCATAATACACTCTGATGTATTGCTCTATAATCAATATGAAGCTAATTATGCCATTTCAATGTGATTAGTATTGGAGTGGGAGTGTTCACACTGTCAGATAAATTTGAAAGGTTTAAATTTATAAATATGCTCAATACTGTCCACTGGTTTGATTGCTCCCTTCATTAGACAGTATTTATGTGGAATTAATTTGATAAAATAATCTTAAAGGGACTGCATCCAATTTTTGTCATGTAATAAAGTTAAATTTGTCTTGCGAACCAGGAAATAGCATGCTAAACAGGAGCATGAAAATTAACTGCTTGCTGCATTGAAATTGAAAACCACAAGTTTGTACTTTTTTTTTTTTTTTTTACATAGGGTGATCAGATGTCTCTATTTACCTGGGACAGTCCCAGTTTTGAGCCCTGTGTCCCCTGTCCCTGCAGATTTATCCAAAACCATTGATTTGTCCCAGTTTTATAAAAGAAATGTCCCAGGTGTCCCTATTTTTAACCAATCTGATACCTGCCAACAGTAAAGAGATGCATAAATTATCACTTGTTTAGATTAAATACAGAAAATCTGCTTAAAAACAACCAAAACACAAAGAAAACGTAACTATACTGACTCAGATGTTAGTCATGAACGGGCCGCGTGCATACATTTTTTTCTTAATTACACATAAGGGTGTGCAAAAATATCAAAATATCGATATATCGTATCATTTAACGTGATGATACAGTATCGGTATCGTGGGCTGCTGTATCGATATATCTCCAAGAGTATTTTTTGGTGTATTTTACTAAATCATTTTGTTACAATGCTACAGGTTTGTTGCATGTTTAGAGGAAGAAAACTCGTTTATGCGACACATTTAACATTTTCTCTGTTTTGATGAGTAAAATGTTTGTGTTTTATATGAACTTTGTACAAGAAGTGGTTTAACAAAGACTTTTAGTATCACACCCATAATTTAGCCTTTATTTTTTACTGAACCGTATCAAATCAATTTGAAATATATCGTATTGAATTGTATCAAATCGAAAGTATGTATTGTGTCATGGTCTACGTATCGAGGTATGTATCGTATCGGCAACTTCTTAATGATACCAGCCCTAATTACACACTCGTTTCACAGTTTTATTATTACCGACCACCACAAACCATTGGTGTCCCAGTTTTTTTATTTTGAAACTATGGTCACCCTATTTCAATATGAAGACAACGGACCTGTTTCAATTATTCAAGCCATTTTAGATCAACATTGCGCTTGCAATGAAACAAAATCTAAAATAATGGTATGTATGTTATAATTTATTAGTAAATACCACCCCTCCAAAGTGTCTCCCTAATATGAATTACTATCAGCTAGATGCTACTTCAGTTCACTTGGGTAAAAATTGAATTGTCAACTTTTCCGCTTGAGATGCAAACCCCACATTACCTCGTCCCCCTTGACCAGGCCTCTGGGAGTCTCTAATGCAGTGATTGATACAAATGTTAGCAGAGAGCGCCATACTGCAGACCTCCAGCACAGACAAGGGCCCTGCATCCGCCAATCATCCCGTTTGATGGTGTGCATTTTGGGTGAGCATGAATGCCTCCTCTGTGGTCCATACGCCGCGGGTTTGGCATGTAGATCAATCAAAACGTATTACAGTCTTGTGTCTTCCTGCTCTGGCTCCTTGAAGAGACCAGCTAATCCAAATGAGAGGGCAACAGGCCACGGCCGAACCAGTGCTGCATTCAAAGGGCATAGGAAATTCAGGCACCCTCGCTGCCACACCCCCGCCCTGTCAAAATAGAGACAAATGAGTTTATTATGAGACATGACCCGCTGACAGTAAGGATTGTATGCTTAGTCATTTTTGAAGAAGGGCTTTAGTTGTTTTCTTCAGTTGACTAATCATTTTGTTTAGATTTTACATGAGATTTATACAGGACAGTAGCAGAAAAAATAGTTAGATTTGAAAATTTGATAGATTAAATTCACAATTCACAAGTTTAATCTTTATATAAATACTTTTTCTAGGTAAATGGTTGCTTTTGTATGAACTCCTGTGCAGGTGTCTGGGTTAAATACATAGAGATTTGGTTATTTTTAGAGCTTTTACCATGCCTCCTTATTAGTTGATTAACTTATCAGTAGGACATACCTTTAGTCGACCAAGAATTTCTTCAGTCGGCTACAGATCTTGTAAGCAAATTGCAATGTTATTTCTTTTTTAGCTCAGTCTTTGGCCAATTAGAAAGATATCTACAGTCAAAAATACACAAACCACTCAGTTACTGTATCTTATTGAGTGTTTATTTTTATAATTTCTCCCAAAACCTTCAAAAATGACTTAGACTGTTATGGTCTGATTTTGCAAATGAAATGTATAGAACACATTTTGAGAGTGATAATAATGAGGGCTGCATTCACAGTATGAGGGCAGAAGTTTAATGACGAAACCATACTTGATCTTAAGCTTGATAGTAATTGACTTTACAAGAATTAGACATGCTCCTTATTTCTTGTTGTAGTCTACACTGAAATGGAGCACAGGATCATGGTCGATGTAACATAACTCTTAATTTAAGCAAAGAGATTTGTAATTTGATATATTGTGATGGTCCATGATATAATTGTGAAAACTTTCATGACGATATCACGATATTTCAGTTATTGTTACATCCCTAATCAACTAGTGTTAGAACTAGCAACATTAGACCTGTAAGAGTGAATGTGGTCTGTCCAGTAATTGACTAAATGACTTATTTAAATTGTGTTGATTGTATGATGTGCATTGTTTAATACAAGTTAAGTTGAAATGGAATTTTGTGGTAGTTTTATTATTTTACATTATTTTATTATTTTACATCTGCTTCATAAATTGTTAAAACATAGCAATATAGAGTTATTAGTTTTTCACTATACACTAGTGTAAAAAAATTAAATCTTAATCAATGTCAAATTCAACTATGAGGAGTGTGGTTACATCACTTTACCAGTTGTAGTGGACCAAACAGAAAGGCAAAGACAAGGTATAAAAATAAGTTTAAATTTAATAAAGTCAAAAAAGATATAATTTAACAAAGGCTCAAATTAGGCAAATTATTAACAAAAAAGCTGGGCCCAACTGGGGTAACTCAAAATCAAGCTGAACAGAACAAAACTAACCCAACCAGACAAAGGAACAGGTGTGTTTAAATACCTGAGGACCAACTAAAGCTAAACACAAGAGGGAGGAATTACACTAATTAACTAACTAAACCAATAACTTAATCAAAGTAAACAAAAAAGCAAATAATTATAATACAGAAAATAATTGAGTGATAATAATGTGACCTTAACACAAACTAAACAAATTAACTTAGTAAAACAAACTAAATAGTGCTCCCCCCCTTTGCTGAGTTCTGATGGTCTCTCCCAGGGTCCTCCGTCCGGTGCTCAAAAAAACAAAAAGAACAAGTGTAAGTAAATTAGACTTATATTAACTAAAATGCGTGCACTCAAATTAGAATATAAGTCTAAATAATGGAATTAAATTATGTGTAGTGTAATTAACTTAATGTAAATAATAATGAAAATTAAATAATACTGACACTATGGAGTGGTGGCAGAGGGATCCACCACACCAGTGTTGAGCCTTCTACACTTTGGAAAGTGTAGTTTTAACTAATTTTATTGTGGATCCCATATGACATGGTAAAAGTGTTAAAATTAACATTATATGAGTTGAATTCACACTCTTGAATTTGTTTTGTAGTACAGATATATTGTAAAAACAACCCTTAAGGTTAAAATTAAACCACTGTGTACTGTCTGCTAGGGCCGGGTATCATTAAGAAGTTGCCAATATGATACATACCTCAACACATAGACCACGATAAGACACATATCTCAATACAAAGCGCTTTCAATTCAATACAATATATTTCAAATTTGATACGGTTCAGTAAAAAATAATGGCTTAGTCATGGCTGTGATACTCAAAGTCTTTGTTAAACCACTTCTTGTGTTAATATGAAACACACATTTTAATAATTGAAACAGTGAATATGTCAAATGTGTTGAAAAAAATGAGTTTCCTTCCTCTAAACAAGCAACAAAACTGTAGCGTTGTAAGAAAGTAATTTAGTAAAATATACCATTACCATACCAGATTGATATTTCAATATTTTTTGTTTTTTAGCTGTACCTTGATGGCTCTGGTCTCTGAATAATTAAGACGCTAGAATGAGTTATGAAAGTGAGAAACAATACTGCATTCCCGTCGCTCTCAGAGGTCAGAAATATGAATGACAAAATCTCCGAGTTCAATATCAGATGCCTGTTCCAGTTGTTAAGTTAGAAAAACACTGACCAGTATTACCAGTATATTACAATAAAGATTCAATAAAGTAATAAATACTAGGAATGTTCTCATTTTAGCCTAAATCACACGTGTCAAACATATGGCCCTGGGGCCAGATCCAGCCCTCCAAGACCTTTAATCTGGCCCTCGGCTGATTTTCTACTAAAATATTTTAATTATATTTTCTATTAAAATCTTGTTAATTTTCTGTGGTGTTTATCACAGCTGCGTCTCCAGCGTCTCTGTGCGTGGCCCCTCCCACCAGAGCAGCACAAATGAAGACTTGTCTCTTTCCAAACGCTCTTAAAGGACGATCGTTTTGACTGTTGACCATGACACCCTCATCAGTAAAATGTCCAAAATGAGAAAAGAGGACGAAGAGTGCAGGATTTTACAACAAAATGGACTTATTCCTATTTACATACAAGTTCATGTTAAAACATTGTGTTGAAATTACATTTTTCTTACAGTTTCAGGTTGTTCATAATATTATAATATTTAGTAAAAGAAAGAGTTCATCAATTAAAAAAGATTTCTGTAATAGATTTGCATTTCTCTGCACAAATATTTGAACTTATTGTTATTTTTGGGGTTTATATGCCATGAGTTTTCTGGTCCAGCCCCTTTGGGATCAGAGTAGGTTGGATATGGCCCCCAGACCAAAATGAGTTTGACACCCCTGGCCTAAATGATGATCCAATGAAGTTAATTCTGTAACCTGGACATTGTTACTACATTAATAATTACTAGAGCAACGTAAAAAATCCCTGTTTAAATCCCATATAGAGTCAAAATAAAATGATTAGCCAACTAAAGGGAAAATAACCCAAGTACAATAAATATTTAAACTGTTGGATATCAAAGTGTGCCGCATTTTCACATTCAAATTTTGTTTTTGTTTCCACAGAATGAACCTCCAGCAGAATCTGACAAGCCCAAACCCACTCGTCTTCAATCACTGGACACATTTCGAGGGTAAAACCAACAACGACCATTTTCGCTACATCTTTCACCACACTTAGATACAGAGAGACCACTCCTCCCTTTAGTCCAATGAGAGCACACTGCAGCAGGCCTGGACTATAGTGAATAATTGGAGAGGTCAGTGTCTGGCCATAGCCTCCCCTCTGCCTCCCTCTTATCAAACACTAGCTCAAGGCCGTCTGCTGTACTGTACAATGTGTGTGCGTGCTTGTGTATGTGTGTGTGTGTGTGTGTGTGTGTGTGGTTGGGAACAGTGTATTTCTGTTGGACAGGAGTGATTGAATTTAGGCTCTTTAATTGTGGCCTGGGGCTAGACACAATGCACGCCTATCTTGAAACAGGAAGCTGGTGTGGCTTTGACCTCCCCCTTTTGCCAAATAATTGATGTAATAATACCGTCAACATATCGGCACACAACCACACTGCCATAGATCTCCTGCCAAACTGGAGGGAGACAGACAGAGGAAATGCTCTTGCAATAAGAAACAACTACCATCATAGACATCCGTGACCGAACTTCTGGGATGCAGATGTGATGTGTTCAGGGAACCAGTTTAATTCAATGGGAAAGTTGGATTGCTAAAAAATTCCACCTCTGGAAAATAAAATACAATCATCCATCCATCCATTTTCTTCTGCTTATCCGGGGCCGGGTCGCAGGGGCAGCAGTCTAAAATACAATCAGAGTTTATTTTAAATTGGACTCTATGTGAAGGGTAAGAATGGATGGATGGTGAAAATACTCAGTGGTTTTGTATTGGTGGGCAAGGATGGATAACGTAAACTGTATATAAATGGACACAGCTAAACTGCTATCCACCGCGATCCAAATAGGAAGTGAGCATGGGTGTGCTGCTGGCTCCATCGACTCAATTCACTTTATATTGTAAAACTGTTGCCCCTCTCTCTGGAACTGCAGCTGTCACACTTGACATTATAATCTTAAAATGTCTGGGGTTTTTATTTCAGTATTTTGTTCATAATTCAAGATATGAGCAGACCAATGATGCGCCTACTTTCTCTGAGGTTGCTCCTGCTAGTGAGAGCTACAGCTTTGATTGACAGCTTTGTTAAGTGCTCGTTCCCTAAACCAGTGATGTGATTGGGAAGGGGCCTTACTTTCAGCAGCCTTACTCCAGATGGCTCAAAATGTGCCCCTATAACTACTAGCCTTGAAGAGCTTCATTTGACTGGAGCCGAACGCTATGGGCGACATCTTCTTTATACAGATAAATAAATATAATACAAAAAAAAAAAAAAACATGGGATCTCACAGCACTAAGGATGAGATAAGAGCTTGTGTCACAATATATATGTAAAATTGCCATGTTTTTAAATTTGGAATTAATCTGAAGTACCAAAAGAGCTATAATGACACCAAAAGATTGGACAATTTATGTATTACAAATTATGTTAAAAACCCCGGAAGTTGTGGACCGCACATTGGCCAATCAGCGAAGAGCTGTGAAGCCATGATGTCAAACTCTGGGTCAAACAAAGTGGTCCATATGGATGTAGACGAAGCCATACATTCTGTGTTGGCAACAGTTCCGAGATCGAGGATTTAAAGACAGAACAATGAGAATGTTTGGTCAATTTTATCAAGGGGAAAGACGTTCTTGCCCTTCTTCCTACGGGAATTGGCGCATTACATCTGTCACGACCAAATAGCAGCGAAAAACCCGCCTATCAATTGAATGAATCTTAACGCTGCGAGGTCTGACAGTTTCCACGAAGTGAAACCAGCTGATGAATCCGACTACTCCTACTCAGCACTTAATGTTTTTGGTCAATAGTTGTGTTAAAACCAGGCTGCTCTGTCTTAACCATGCTTAAAGAGGTAAGGATAGCCCTATTACAGATTAGATTGTGTTTTCATCTTACAGCAAGAAGGTCCTGGGTTCATTTTGTATACCGGAGTGGAGGATTTCTGTGTGGAGTTTGTATCTTTTCTGGTGGTTTAGTTTGCTCACAGATCTGACTTTTATATTAGTGTCTCTCTGTTGATAGATAAGTTTAATGCCATACTGTTGAACATTCTTAGATTTACACAAACTATATTGAGTGACAAAGAATAGAATACATTCGGGGAAAGGAGTAACAACTCTACTGAGACAAGCAGGTGGCTGACCCTCCACCAGAAAAGTTACACAGTGCATTTTTAGCCTTGATAGATCTATATCCTAAACAAAACTAATCAGTACCTGCTGATGTTGAATTTTAAAGCATACAACTGCATTAGCCTAATAACTTTTTTCTATTACACATTTGTCATTTCTGGTAAAAGGTTTTTGAATTTTATGCCAAACAGACACTTTTATTGGCTTTAGACGCACCTCTGTTTCTCATATTGATGCCGTTTTGGCTAATACCTGAAATAGTCAAACGGGACCAGCCTTTAAATCAGCCCCTGACTCAGCTCCTTCCTGGTGACTTACGATCTATACATTTGATAAGCAGCAACAACTTTTCCAGAGAACCGCGTCATCCGTCATCTGGGGCAAACACTGGGACATTTTTGCTTCCCCACGGCTGAAATCATTGGTCAGACGGCTAGACTTGATATATTGTGAACAGCAAAGTATGCGCTTGTTAATTTTTCTAAAAGGATTTGAATTTTAATCTTGTGGTGTGTCGCTGAAAGCCTGTTGCTGGTTCATATTATGGCAATAGCAGCACTTACTATGTAGTGGTGGTTTGGGCTTGGTGGTATTCACACTAGCCAGACACTACCAACATAATTAGTCCCATTAGCCACTCTTACTCACAGTAAGAAGGTGCTTGGATTTGATGTTTGGATGACGAGGGGTCTTTCTGCGTGGAGTTTGTATGTTTCTCCCTATGTCTATGTGGGTTTCCTCCAGGCACTCCGGTTTACCCCATCAACCCAGAACATGCACAATAGGTAAAATCCTCCAGGAAAGGTAGTTCTGATCAAGCTTAACTCAAAATCTGGAGATGGGTTCCTGGGTGTGGCACTGCTCTTGACAGGTTGCCCCAAACCTACACAAAAACTGTTTGTGCTCCGTTTGTGCTGAAAAAAGTTTTGTTTGTGCTTTAGTTTTTGAGATATTGACAGTTATTTTATAGGTCAAATTAGGGTCAGCCAGCCCCCAGGAAGCTTAAAAATTTTCTAAAACGGCCCAAAATTGTGTCAACTGTATGTGCTTTGGTTGTGCTGTTTTGGGCTGCAAAAAGTCCACAGCCTGAGATCGTTTATCTTCATTAGTTTTGTACAGTTTTGCTAAAGCTGCTGCTGTCAGCTAAGCGGACAGTGTGCGTTTCATGGGGAGCCAACTTCACACAAGTAATAAAGTGTACCTTGATCTTGTAGTTTTTGGGCAAATCTTTTAGAAACAAGCCAGAATATCTGTCAAATGTATATATTTTTTACAATAAGAAAAAATAAACAAAAAATATACTGTGTTTAAAAGATATATTCAACTCATCAAATCAGTTCCTGTCCAGACATAATATTAAATTTAACAAAACCCTACATCTTATAGCCAGGGAGAAAACAGCATAAGGAACACCTATTAAAAAAATATCAAGTTAAACACCAGGTGGTTGTCTCATTTTGTGGTTATTTGGATTTGCGTTTTAGTCCGAAGCTGGCTGTTAAACAAGTTTAGGTTTCAAACAGATACGCTGTTAGCCACATGAAGAATTAGCTGCTTTTCCACACAAGTCAAAACCATTTATTATGACTAGATTGTGTGTCCATGTGCCTGATACGTCGGGCAGAAGGTAACCAGACACCAGTACTGATAGACTGGAGCTCTTTATTTGAAGCAGGAAATGTACTGCACTGTTTGTAATTGGTAATGCATGTGCTGGGATTCAAAGAGTCAAAGAGATTAATGTCTAGATCTAATTGACATCCAGTTTTGCCCCTATGGTGGAATTTCTACAACTTATAATATATATAAAACAATAGTGCCATGTCAAATGTATTGGATAAGTCTGCATATCTTAAAAAAATATCTTAGTTTGTAACATTTAAACTGCCCACAATTAATCAATTGGCAGACAACTTTATCATTTGGGCATTATTTACAGCCAAATGTTTTTAAATAGATGTGGAAGTGGCTCACAAGGTACAGCTTTGCCCACTAACTAGAAGGTTGTTCAATCCAATTCCTACTACCACTGATTCATGTTATGGTAGTGTAATTGAGCAAGACACTTTACCCTGTTTGGCTTGAGTGCTCGCATACATTGTGCATCGCTTTGTGAATGGACTAATTGTTTTTTGATTTAAATGCGCATGGATGTTACAGTTTAAATGTTAAAGGGCCCATATTACAAGCCTGATTCATCAACCAGGTTTCACTTCATGGAAACCGTCTGACCTCACAGCATTAGGATTCGTTCACTCGATGGTAGATTTTTTAATTAAACCAATCACTGATGTTTGGTCATGACGTTTGTAATGCACCTGAACGCTCAGTGGTGTCGTAGTAATTGCCAGCACAATAGCAAACAAAGCAGAGAGTGAACATGCCTGTCAATGATCATTGACGTTTCTCTGAGATGAACTTACAAATTAAAGGTGCAATAAAAAATGCTAAGTTTGTATTTGATAAAGAAAGTCCAAAGGAGGATAGCGTTTGCAGTCTGCTATTGCAACTCAGGTTGGTTCAGCTCTTCACTGATTGGCCGGTGCGTGGTCTACAACTTCTGGGGTTCTTGCAAACTGTCTAGTGTATTCCGATTCCTGACCTAGTCCCTGAAGAGAAATGAAATTAAGCAGAGGCACTAGGTGGTGCCAGCCTGGCTACCATATTACACTATTTTATTTTAATGTTGTGTCCTTATCACAAACATACCTGGAGTTGTGTTTTGTTTCATTCACACACGTTTAACACATAAATTCAAAACTCTCTGCTCTATTTTGTGATGTCATGTGGTAATACAGGACATGCTCCACTGTGTTTTTAAACTCCATACACCTTCATTAGAAAAATTTTGATGATTTCAGACCTGGAATCACCAATCTCCATTGACCAAAAGGTAAAAAGTAGATGTTAACTTGAAAACTATCACTACATGACACACACAAGGTGGAAAAGAGCCTTTTGACCTTTGGAGATGTAGACAGACTAATAATCCAGGGTTACAGAAATTCAGTTCAATTCAGTCTTTATTACGAACACATGATATCTGGTTCATAGTATAAAAAAATAAGCAGGATAAAAAAATTAAATATACAATGCATGGTATAATGTATACAGAAAAGACAGCTAGTGTCTCCACAGTTTAGAGGTGAATCTGACAGAGCTCCTCACACGACACACTAGAGCTTGAATGATTTGTTTGCTCAGATTCATGGCTCCACACATAAATGAATAAATACAACATTTGATCATCTCACATTACAGTTTACAAACATTTCACTGGCGCTACAGAACCATAGCACTTTCAGTAATATTCTCAAAGAGTCATTATAGGCCACTGTCAAACTCTGAAAACTCTTGTGTGAAAACAAAACACAACTCCAGGTATGTTTTTGAAGAGGTAACAAGATTTTAACATGGCTAAAAGCTCAGAATTTTGCACAAGATAAGATCTTTGAAAGCAGTTTTTACCTAATTATCTCAGTGTATACAAACCAATGTCCTTTGTCTATCAGCAACAATAGACTCTTCCCAAATTGTCTAAAAATATTAACAAATTTTGCAGTCATCATGGCAAATATCACTAAGGAGACTAATGGATATGTTTGTCATAATATAAATGTAAATGTTTAATATCCATATACACATTTGTAGACGCATTTGTTAGGGAGAAGGAGTACCTGGGCACATCCTTTAGTCCTTTTTAATGGCCCTTTTGAGATGAGAGCACCCGATTAGTCCCAGTATCAGCAAGTTGGCCTAAAACAGCAGTAATGGCTCCGTGCACCTCTTAATTCAATCAGAGCAGAAAAACAAGAGGCGGCAGCGGAGATACAGCTCACCTTATCAGACAGACAGAGGCAGAGCTAACCACATTACTGCTCCTAAAGTCCTTTTATGATTTGTGTTCCTTTTATTTAATCAGACCAGGATAAAAAGCACAAATGTAGGTATTTACGGCTTTAAAATGATCACTAAACCAGTTACGGACATTCTTCGACAAGTTTGGGTTCCGCTAAAGTGCAGCAAAATGGAGAGAGCTGGTTTAATGATATTTCTAATAGAGTAGACAGACACATGCAAGCTGCTGCAATAGTGCAAGAGGAATGGAGCTCAAATTAAGAGATTTTATGGCTCGCAGACATCACTAAACTTATCCCATCATTGTACATATTAAAGATACAATAATACTGTTTATTAGTTATTAATTAATGGGGTGCTATATAACGTTTTTGTTAAAGGATCTCCTGGAATATTTCACAGTATGGCTTTAAAGGCTTCTAATGGCAGTATGGCTTCTCTGCTTCCATGGAGACAAGCAGGCCACATCAAATAAATACATTTAATGCCATACTGTGGAACATTCCAGGGAAAGCAATAAGATCTTCATGTGCCAGACCCTCTAAATAGAAATGTTACATAGTGCAGTTTTGTTCCATTGTGTTTTACACACCACCTCTTGTAATGAAAGTTTTGAGATGCTGTAGCAGAATTACTGATCATTAGCTACATATGACTTCAGATTAGGGTTGTCAAAAGTATCGAAAATCAGCTGCTAATCAATACTAACGTTAATATTGAAACAATACTCTTTTGAACAAGTATCGGTACTAAAAAATAAACAGGAAATGATGCTATCACAAAGAAAGTACTACTATTTTGTGTTGAAAATGACATTATATCTAAAAAGGAGTGTTTTATTAGTGTATTGAAATCTGTATCGAGAGTATTCCTTTGTATGAAAATGAAATTCGAAATTTTAGTATCACGATAACACTACTTCAGATAACTTTTTAAATGTAGCTCAAAAACATAATCTTCCTCCTCTACCTATGAAGCTTCACAGTCACACCCTCTCTGCGTTCAGACTGCAGCCTGAAGTGACCCAAATCCGATTTTTTGGCTTCTATGTGACCTGTATCCGATCTTTTAATGACAGTCTGAACGGCACAGATCCGAATTTTTTCTAATGCGACCCAGGCCACTGTGGCCTCTGGTAAAATTTCCATTTATTTGTCCCACAGACTTTTTGAAAATTTCAAATATTCAGTTGAAAGACTTTGCGGAGGCTAAACAGTGGTGTGATAATGAATATCCATAACACGGTTGTTTTAAGTCCAAAAAGCACATTTAAAAGATTCATCAAAATGTAATCATATCTTAGCAATTTCCAAAGTTTCAGAAATAGATTTAAATAAAATGATAGATCTTGTGATCATTAGTTAAAACGTAGCTGATTAACCCTAAACAAGCTTTTTTGGAAAGAGAAATGTACTTCCAGGACCAGGGGCGGGCCATCACTGTGGAGCTCCATAGTTCATTTAGACCTGTGTTAATGGCTTCTCCAGTTCTGAGCTGTCCGTCACGCACAGGAGCTGTGGCCACAGTCAAGTATAAACTATATCGTATATTAGACCAAAGTCTGGAGTCAGCACAACTGTAGGACGAGATCCAGGGGACAGCCGCTCATTTCCTGAGTGATTCAAAATGCTTAGGTTGCATTACACTGCATTTGTGAGTTTGAAAAGCACCCACTTGGCATGAACAACTTTAATTTAGACGCTGTTATTAATGAATCAATTAAATGTATTCAAACAGCTACAAATGTACTGTGCATTTGGGAACTCAAAAGTGCTTTCTTGTTGAAATGTTTGCAGCGGTTTTATGCAAGTTAATCAATTTTACACGGGCTGATGTATGCCGTTCTGTCATATTTGTGTTATATTCCTTATACTGACTTATTGTTGCAGGTTTGCGCTGACGATAATGGTATTTGTAAACTATGGAGGAGGAGGATACTGGTTCTTTCAACATGCTCCTTGGAACGGTCTGTACTTTTCAGTGCTTATGCTTAATGTATATGCTGGCAGAGTGGTTAGCATTTGTAAAGAAAGCAGTGGTTCAGAGGATGTTGTTTTATCTGCATACTCTAGATGTTTCTCGGTATGGTAGAAAACTTATCAGTCTCCATGGAGATAAGTTGTAGACAAAACCAAATAATGATAATAATGCATTATAGGAGCTGTTAATGACCAAAAACGAGCCCAATTGTTTCACTTTCATGGTACAATAATAAAACTTTGGCAGAAATCCCTAGGACCAACATTTCTGGATATTTAACAAAGCCTAAGTTGACCCTGGAGCCGAGTACTGCCCATGTCGCAAAACTGCTAACTGAGGCTGAGAGCTAAGTTACTGCTTAAACTGCCTTTTTTGGAAAATAATGTCAAATTATCACACATTATCACTAATCATTCCACTTATGCAGATATGAGTAACCCAAGACTCTTACAATCATATGTATGGTACTGGGAAATAAGCAGGAATCTTACATTGGTTATCTATAGCACCATTAGAAGGCTACAGTCTGTGGTGAACAATGCACTTTTTTAAAATACATTTTCAACCAAAAATGTTTAGAAAAAAACAAAAACACAATATTAGTTTAATTGAATCTCATTTGATAACTCAAACTATAAGAGAAAGCCAACAATTAGGTACAATGTAAAACTATCCTATCTTATGTCTATTTTAGAATATATGTATATGTATGTAGTATGTATGGTCATATGTATGGTAGTGGGAAATAAGTATTATACTCTTATATTGTTTTTTCATAGCACAGACAATATGTAACCTAAGGATAAATACTGTGAATAATTATAAGGCTATAATTATAAAACTATTCTAGCTGATTTCATTCATTCTTTCTTTAGAATCATATGTATTGTATTTGGAAATAAGTATTTAAAAGAAGGCATTCAAGACTGTAACAAGTACTACATCTGGACAATACACATAATGAGCTTCAGTGTGGACAATGGAAGTCAACTCAAAACATGCTACATTGGTCTCCAGGAAGAACAGCTTAATGCTAATGGAGGTCAATTAAATACAACTGAAGTAATTTTAGTACCACAAGGTACTTAAACATTTTACCTAGAAATTACATTAACAAGGGCTTTCTCCGAACCAACCAATTACACAATGCACGTTTAAGTTTTTATTTGTTTATTTTGTTCAATTATTTAAATTTTAATATGTATTTTCTGATTTTCATTTTTATTTGCCTGGCATAGATGTTACAAATTTCATATACCTCTTTCCTTATATATATTCAGAAGGAACCACCATACATTAAGGATCTCCCTCCTCCTCATCCAGCTCGGGTCCTCTACCAGAGGCCTGGAAGCTTAAGTGACTCTCACGCTCACTAGTCCTCCGCCTCACTCCTTCCAGCTCGCGTACAGATGTTTCTGTACACTATGCCCGCCACTTGATTATGTCGCTCCTTGTTTGCTTTTCCTGCCAGCATCTTACACCCTGCAGTTTTGTGCTGGACTGTTTGCACAGCCTACACTGTGGGTCTTGTGTGGTGTGGTAGATCTGGGCCTCTATGCCTGGTTGCTCAGGGCCTGATCCTGTGCAACCAGGATGAGTGCCTCTGTGCTGTCCTTCAGACCAGCCCTCTCAAGCCATTGGTAGGATTTCTTGATATCAGCCACTTCAGTTATGTTAAGGTGGTACGCCCCATGTAGGGGCTTGTCCTGCCATGATGATCCCTCCAGCACCTCTTCCTCTGGACCCCACTGTCTGAGACATTCTTTGAGCACCTCATCTGTCTGGGCCTTGTCCTTGATGACGATCACTGTCCAGGATGATTTCATCTTGGACAGTGGTTCCCACACTCACTAGTCCTTGGCCTCCTTCCTTCCAGCTCGCGTACAGTCTCAGGGTGCTGGATTTGGGATGGAACCCTCCATGCATGGTCAGGAGCTTTCGTGTCTTAACATCTGTGGTCTGTATCTCCTCCTTTGCCCAGCTTATGATTTCTGAAAGGGCTTATGCAGTATGTTTTATGCCAGCCTCGTTTTAGTAATCTGGCAAAGTTCCATGCTTGTACCATAAAAGCAAACTATTTTGGCCCTTAACAGCTCCACTATTAGTCTATTAGTACTATTAGTATAGTGCTTTTCCAGACACTCAGTCGCTTAACTTTTTTATTGCATTCATGATTGAATTCCTGATAATGGTAAAATAGATAGTTTGCCGTAGGGCAGCTGTGCCTACCCTGGGGCACCACCAGTACACATGCACACACCACACTCATAGACAACGTAGGTGAGTTAGTCTCTGTAGCACCTGGTATTCCCAGCATTCTCCCATCCAAGTACCATCCAGGCCCAGCCTTGCTTAGCTTCTGAGGTCTGATGGGATCAGGCTTTTACAAGTTGGCCACACTATAATCAATAGAAAGTAATTAGAGCAATGAAAACACCTATAAATGGAACAAATCAGGTGATGGACCCTCTACCTGAAATACATATATACATTTTTACATTGTTTGTCCAAATCTGTTATTTCTGAAATGATTAGCTATTTTTACTGTTTAAAATTACTGGGTACCACAGGTCTCATGACAGCTGCCACACTAATAATTATAAATCTCATTTCTAATCACGTCATTACTGAGGCTGAATTAGAAGCACAATAATTTAGTGTAATTTAAAGAGAGGAGGAAGTGTATTTAATGACATCTGAGAAAATGTAATGAGTCCTCCTATTGTAAAGCTTTTATTTACACTCAGGACACGAAGCCTATGACAATACTTACCGTCTACCATGTACAATACCATGTACAATACCATGTACAATACCATGCATGATGTAATTACCCTGGCTAGACGAGGCCAATATATCATACTGTTGTGAATGTTGTTTTGAAGACATGCCAGATTTGAATATTAGATTTATCATGCGGCAAAATGCTGCAAAAAGCTGATTCATAATAAAACTGGAATATACTTTATGGTATAGAGTGATACATTTGCACTTTTGTGAGTGATTTTACAGTCATTTCACATTTATCTGATACTTAAACCTCAACTAATTGATTTTGAAACCTAAAAGAGGACATTTAAATAAACTTGATTCATTAGATTGAACTATACAAACTTGGCTCCAGTTCTGGGGTTAATTTATCATAAAAAAAAAAAAAACTTTTCTGAAATTCATTCCCTCATCCTCCCTCTCTGTCTTTAGCTTTAGTAATAGCCTCTTTGTCACTTTCTGCATCGATTCAGACTAACTTTGATTAATCCTGTCTTTGCTGCTGGGCCTTCGCTGTCACTGGACCAAAGATATTTATGAATTACACCTTCAACAAATGGGACAGTAATGATAGAGGCTGCTCTGAGTAACATTGTTTATCTTCAATGTATTTTTCCATCATTACAAAACAGTAAAAATAAAACAAATAAATCTATATTTTGTCATGTTTTGTAGGTCTGACTGTAGCTGATCTTGTCATGCCATGGTAAGTGTTATGTGCATGAGTTTGATATCCAGATTTTTTACTGTTTATTCAATTAATAGTTACTTTAACACACATGGGACAATGACAAGATATAACTTTATTGTCCGTAAACAGAAATTGAATGCACATAAAAATTTGGCATTTGTTTAGTGGCTTAATCCAAATGATTTGATATCTCATATGATGGAGGTGGGGACTTGCAAGTTGTGACTTGGACTCAAGTCAGATTTGAGTCACTATTTTTACTTGAGGCTTGAGACTTGACTTGATAAAATTGACAAAGACTTGGGACTTGACTCGGACTTGAGGCCTGTGACTTGAGAAGACTTGAAGCACTTTAAAATCTCAATTCTTTCTATACTGACTGTAATGATTCACACTAAGATCTTGTCAAGACATTTAAAAAGGAACCATTTATTAAATTAATTTCTACAACTCTTATATGCTCTATAAATACTCATAAATAAATATACCTTTTTAAGTACAATTTAGTTTAAAAGTCATATAAATTGCAAAAATCTAAGTTGGTACTTTGGTTTAAAAACTTGAAATGACTTGAAACTCAAAGAAGATGACTTGGACTTGACTTGGACTTATGGGCCAGTGACTCAAGACTCGAATTGGACTTGCCTGTCTTTGACTTGGGACTTGACTCAGACTTGAGGTGTGAGTCAAGCGTTATTTATTGTGATTCCTGTTTTTTTTTTGTTTTTTTTTTCTTAATGACAACTAGTGGAGCTTAAGAGTGAATCCTTAATTTATACTGTATGTCAACTACAGTGCAACTTTTTGTAAACTGATGCATGTTCATAAAATACACCAGCAGAGATAAATCTTTGTGAAACATTAAACATGTTTTGTCCTTGCAGGTTTGTGTTCATCATTGGTACATCGGTGGTCTTAGCCTTCAGCTCGATGCAGAGGAGGGGGTTGGGGACGGGTCAGCTCGTTCGTAAAGTGACCTGGAGGACTGTGGTGCTGCTGCTGCTCGGGTTTTGCTTCCTCAACTACTCCCCACGCGACGGACCACGTAGGTGATTTATGGATGAAATGTAAACACAGTAATAAAGCAGTGGGTAACAATAATACCTAGGGCCCATATTATGTTATTTTCTGATCTATGTTGTAAATTTACTCTTCACAAGAATCATTTGGGTGATTTCACTCCTGGAATTGCCAATCTCTACTGAACTAAAAGTAGAAGGTAGCCATGTTTGAATATGGAAAAGCAAAATAAAGACATATAATATAATATACCTATAGAACAATATACTTAGACGGCTTTAGAGAACAATTGTACCAGAATCTATAAAACACATTTCACTAAAAGGTTTTGTCTAAACAGATTTGGGTGCATTGTTTGGGTGAAAGTGTGAGAATAAGGCGCAATAATCCTCATTTTATTCACCTGGGGACCCTCACCATTAGCCTCCCTCCCTCTGGCTCTAATGGACTTTGCAGGGGGCGTCTCTGTAACTGGGTTAAGTCAAATATTGTTATTGCATGTGTAGTCTCCAAATCCAGCGCCAGGGGACGTTTAACAGGAGCAGATCGAGCAAAAACAAGACTGTGGTAATGGACAATTACAAACAGATAGAGTTACAGCCACTGCAGCTGCTGTTCTGCTGAGCTCTGGAGTGACTTTAGCACAGACTCAGCCCAGGACTTTCAGGACGTCCCACATGGTCCAGGGTCGTGTCTAATGAGAGTCATGTGACCTACAACCATCCTGCTTCACTGTGGGGAGAGATATTTTTGCAGCCGTGTAGTGATGTGGTGAAGCTGAATGTAGCATTTTATCGATATACTACAGTGTAAAGTAAGGCAAGCAACTGGATTTCCCTAACCCAAAACATAAAAGACAACCTAGACTATGCACAATAGGTTAGTCTTCCAGCTAGGTAGGTATCTGTACTTTACTTAAATATATTTTATATTGGATACTTTTTACTTTTACTTCACTACACTTGAGATTATGTATCTGTACTTTCTGTTCCTCTACATGTTAAATCTGGACTGAAAACTAAAAAGTACTTTTCTTTTATGGTTTGAGACCTGCTGAAATGATTGAGACTTATTCTTAGTACATTTAATTTGAGTTTCTGTCCCAGCTTTGGGCAAACCACAAATACACATAAATAGCTGGCAAAATTAAGAAATCTACTGAGTCACTTAAAATCAGTCACTTTTTTAATCAAAATCACTACATTTGATGCTTTCATTGTTCTAAAAATCTCTGCAAAATGCTTTTACTCTTAAAGTACATTTCTAAATAGGTACTACTGTACTACTCTACTTAAGAGAGCTCTTCATGTGATACTTTTACTTGAATAATCTTTTGCCCCTGTAAGTGTACTTTTAATTGATAACAAATACTTCTTCCACCGCTGCTCTTTACCAAACTGAGCTAAAGATTTGGAGATGGGTCTCTGGGTGCACTGCTTGAAGGGTGGGTCAAATGCAGAGGACAAATTTTCCAACAGGGACAGAAGTGTTTGTTAAGCTTAACCTATCCTCGCTTCATCTGTTTGATAAACCTTTCAATGTAAACAAAATTCAAGTTGAGTATCACCACTCTCATTACACTGACCCATTGCAATCCTTCCATACTCACACAATGTACTTTCACAACCCAGTGTTATTTTTATTTTTGTTTTGTTACTTTTTGACTTGATGTGAAAGATATTTAGAGCCAGCAGCAGACAGTGAACATTATACAGCATGAAAAATATCAATTTGCATTTAATGAGTTTGAATTTCTCAACACGGCTCCCTGAACATTGATCTAAAGTCAAGTTTGTAAAATCTACGTTGCCTTGTTGATATCGTGGGCGTGTCCGATCCTACATTTCAACGGCGTGGGTGTGACCTGCAGAATTAGCAAATGTGTTATTACTAAAAGCTTCCTGACGTTTTGTGAAAGTCGAGATTTCCGCCTTTTATTTGATTTGTCCTGATCAATAATTTGGATTATACCATGTTTTACGGCACTTTGAGCGACAAAAAGGTTTTCAATTAACTAATGTGAAGATTACCATCAATCTTTGAAGCCTGAAGCCTGGAGGAGATAGCCCTGCCCCTCTGATTAGAATACATCCGGACAGGGACACTATATTTTCTGGAGTTGCCGCTGTCCATCACTGGGCTCCAGGAAGTGGGATTTTCTTGGTTTGATTGGAGGAAGTTCCTGTGTCCCGTATGATCCATTTCGTGGTGAATAATTAGGTCTAACTCACAGAAATGGTCTTATCAGTCAGTTATATCGGGTCCTTGTCGGAGGTGTGCAGGCCTGTATCCATCATCAGGGCTAAAACTGGACTGTCCTCAGGTCTCCCTCTGTACCAAGACGAACAAGAGACAGTTTGATTTTATACTGTTAAATTGTGCTTAATTTAAAGGGAAAAATACTTACATTTTGTCAATCATTGCCTGAATGTTGTTATTGTTCACCTTAGTTACATTCTCTAAGTTTTGTGTTTTGCTCTGCTAATATCAACATGCAGTTTATCAATAGAATATTCTGTGGTCTTTGAGTTGTTCTGGGATAATACAATGTAAAATGGAGAGAGAGTGCTGTCTTAAAGCCATGCCCTGTGTGCCTATGTTAGTTTAATTTCTATGATTTAAACCTTAAAGCCCTACTGTGCAACTTTTTAGCCAAAAATAGACATAATAAAACCATGTTTTTAATTAGAAAAACATGTATCCTTAGTCTGAATGGACTTGTTTCCCTACACCTGACTTATTTAGCCTGGAGGAGGGCCTCTACCTGCTTGTTTCCTGGCAGTAATCTTCCACAATATAGCATAAAACTCATCTATCTCCATGACCAGCTGGACAAAAGTTTATTTCTCCTTTTGCCATGGATTCTACCTGGACGACTGAGGGATTTTACACATCTCCATAACGTGTGTTTCGAAATACAATTTCTTTTTCCATGGAATCATGCAGGTGATGCATCCACATCCACATCTAGAAAGTTACACAATGTTGTTTTAATGAGAGAATCCCTTAAACTGTTAACCTTCAAAAGTTAATTCATTTTACCAAAATGGTCTAATTACAAAAATATATGAAAGCATACACTTGAAGAAAACATGCTAGTAAATGCTGAGCTTTCACCATCTGGACTGAAAACTAAAAAGTACTTTTCTTTATGGTTTAGACCTGCTGAAATGGCTGAGACTTATTTTTAGCACATTTAATTTGAGTTTCTGTGCCAGCTTTGAGCAAACTAAATACACAAATACACATAAACAGCTAAACCAAATACACAAATACACAAATACACATACACGACAGCTAGAGAAATTAAGAAATCTATTGAATCACTTAAAATCAGTTACAGTTTTTTATCAAAATCACTACATTTGATGCTTTCATTGTTTTAAAAATCTCTGCAAAATGCTTTTACTCTTGAACAGGTACTTCAATACTTTTACTTAAGAAGATCTCTTCGTGTGATACTTTTACTTGAGTAGTCTTTTGCAACAAAATTGCATACTTCATCCACCGCTGCTCTTTGTAACAAGAACACATGATGGTTCCTGTTACATGTTTTCAGATGCATCAGCCATTACAGAATAAGTTTACTCTGTGTAGAACAACATGCAGTCGTCTTTGTGTTTTGGCATAACAATTACTGAAATAAAGGTTTTGAATAAGTATTATAAAGTGCACCTAAACGGATTGTTCTGTTGTGTTGTTTCAGTGTCGTGGTCATGGCTGAGGGTCCCTGGGGTGCTGCAGCGTTTGGGTTTCACGTACCTCGTCCTGTCTCTGCTTCAGATTTTCTGGGGCCAGATCTCGATCCCTCACAGAACGGTGAGTCGCTCTGATAAACTCATTCCAGTCTCAAACAAACCAGCCAACCTTAAACAAGTGAAAGTGGCACTGACAGTTTCACAGACACAGACTCTGGTTTAGTCCTGTCTCCTGTGGATGGTAGCTTTAAGTTGAATTGTTTGTTTTTGTAATTAACATGGTAAACTTTGTTGCAGAAGCCGTTCCAGGACTTAACCCTGTATTGGCCTCAGTGGCTGATCATCGTCCTGTTGGAAACTCTGTGGTTGTGTCTCACCTTTCTGCTCCCGGTACCAGACTGTCCCACGTGAGTATAATTCAATATATACATTTAACTTTAATAGATGTGAAGTGTAGAGATGCACCAATACAGATTCTGGTATCAATGCACAACAACACTTTCTTTGGAACAGCCTTTGCCTAAAGTGTTCAGGAAGTGGTGGAATTTCACAGCCTGATTTATCAGCCAGTTTCACTTTGTGGAAACCGTCTGACCTTGCACCATTAGAATTTGTTTGTCCAACAGTAGGCAGGCACTTTTTTATTTAACCAATCACTGCTATTTGGTCGTGACGTATGTGATGCGCCAAATCCCGTAGGAAGAAGGGCAATAACGTTTTTCACCTTGATAAATTTCACCAAACATTCAATAATGTTTTTCACCTTGATAAATTTCACCAAACATTGTTCTGGCTTTAAATTCTCAATCTCGGGAATCGTTGCCAACACAGAATGTATGGCTTTGTCTCCATCCATCTCGATCGCTTTGTTTACTGTTGTGTTGTACCACAAAAGGGACCCAGGCAGGTGCTTGAGTTTGACATCATGGCTTCACAGCTCTTCGCTGATTGGCCGGTGCGTGGTCTACAACTTGCGGGATTCTTGCAATCCGTCTAGTGTACTCCGATTCCTGTCCTAGTTGCTGGAGAGAAATTAAATTGAGCGAAGGCACGCCAGCCTGGCTAGGAATTTCATGGCCAATATTTGAATCTGACTGGTCGAAGCAGAACAAGCAGAGAAATCAAATTTAAAACTTAAATCCTGTTGAGTTCACAAATGCACAAAATGCTTCCCTGTATTTTTGAAAGCCATTTGTTATGTTTGTTGTGGTGTTTTTGTGCGCCCCTCCCCAAATCACAATCCTGCTCTGTGATTGGTCTGAACCACTGGTTAACCGGGCAGTCCTAACAGATATCAGGATTTTATGAACTCTTTATGAACAAATATCACGAGAATCCATCTTACTGGCCAGGTGACTTGCACACACATGGCAAAACAATTATATAGAGTACGAGCCTTCAGCTGCAGTAGAGTTTGAATAGATGATGTTTGTTCTCACTATGAAATAAACCGTGACTTTGACAGGTTTCATCCACCCTCCCTCCTCTGCTGCAGCTGCTCTTTATTGAACCGCTCATGTGTTTGGCCTCAGATACAATCACGTTACTCTTTGTTTGCCCATTTTCTAATATCCTGAAAGAAGGAAGGGACTGAGCATTATGGCTGTTTATACAAGAGGATGGTCATATAGAGTAATTTATCATTTTGTTTATGCTCTTATATTTTTGGTATAACTGTGATGATTCAAGTCAATATAAAACTGTAGACCTAAGAGCCCCGTCTCCAGATATTTAGTCAGGAGGACCGAGCTGGGGTGATTATAAGCATGTTTTTGTTTGATCTGGAGCACTCAGAGCAAAACCCAACCAGGCACAGTGAGAACACACAAACCCCTGCACAGATACACCTTCGGGACCTTCTTGCTGTGAGGCCATAGTTTAGACAAGTTGGAAGATGTGTTGCTTACAAGTTAACTGCCTCTCCCAAATCTTCCAAATTATCCTTGGCCTGTAATTAGGAAACTCCAATCTTAAATCACTGCTGTAATGCATAGAGTGGATCCAAAAATCATTATGAGCTCTTAATGGAAAACGCACATTGAGTTTCCATCTTACTGAAACGCACTTGACCTTGTACAAACTAATACGTTAAAGGATACGTCACTTCTTCTGCATAATAAGAGTAGCTAATGCTGATCATTGCTGCTCACAGTAAGAATGCATGTTTTCAGAGGTCTACACTGGGAAAAAAACAATATCTAGTTAAGTTAAAATTACTTAAATGTGGAACATTTTACTTTGTTTGAGTCGATTCAACTGGACAAGTAAAATTATCTACCAATGGAATAAGTGTGTTTTTCTTAATTCAAGCAACGTTCAATTAAGTTTCATTTTACTTTCCATTCCATTCCATTTTCTTCCGCTTATCCGGAGCCGGGTCGCGGAGGCAGCAGTCTAAGCAGGGACTCCCAGACCTCCCTTTCCACACACACTTCCTCCAGCTCTTCTGGGGGGACCCCAAGGTGTTCCCAGGCCAGCCGAGAAACATAGTCCCTCCAGCGTGTCCTGGGTCTTCCCCGGGGCCTCCTCCCAGTGGGACATGCCCAGAACACCTCCCGAGGGAGGCGTCCAGGAGGCATCCGGAAAAGATGCCCGAGCCACCTCAACTGGCTCCTCTCAACGTGAAGGAGCAGCGGCTCTACTCCGAGCTCCTCCCGTGTGACTGAGCTCCTCACCCTATCTCTAAGGGAGCGCCCAGCCACCCTGCGGAGGAAACTCATTTCGGCCGCTTGTATCCGCGATCTTGTCCTTTCGGTCATTACCCAGAGCTCATGACCATAGGTGAGGGTGGGAACGAAGACTGACCGGTAAATCAAGAGTTTCGCCTTTCGGCTCAGCTCTCTCTTCACCACAACGGTCCGATACAGCGACCGCATCACAGCTGAAGCTGCACCGATCCGCCTGTCAATCTCACGCTTCCATCCTCCCCTCACTCGTGAACAAGACCCCGAGATACTTGAACTCCTCCACTTGGGGCAGGGCCTCTCCACCCACCCGGAGAGGGCAAGCCACCTTTTTTCCGGTCGAGAACCATGGCCTCGGATTTGGAGGAGCTGATCTTCATCCCAGCCGCTTCACACTCGGCTGCAAACCGCCCCAGTGCACATTGTAGGTCCTGGTTCGATGAAGCCAACAGGACAACATCATCTGCAAACAGCAGAGATGAGATCCTGTGGTCCCCGAACCGGACCCCCTCCGGCCCCTGACTGCACCTAGAAATTCTGTCCATAAAAAACAATGAACAGAACCGGTGACAAAGGGGCAGCCCTGGCGGAGTCCAACATGCACCGGGAACAGGTCTGACTTACTGCCGGCAATGCGAACACAGCTCCTGCTCCGGTCATACAGGGACCGGACAGCCCTTAGCAAAGGGCCCCGAACCCCATACTCCCGGAGCACCCCCCACAGGACACCACGAGGGACACGGTCGAATGCCTTCTCCAAGTCCACAAAGCACATGTGGACTGGTTGGGCAAACTCCCATGAACCCTCGAGCACCCTATGGAGAGTGTAGAGCTGGTCCAGTGTTCCACGGCCAGGACGAAAACCACACTGCTCCTCCTGAATCCGAGGTTCGACTATCGGGCGGATTCTCCTCTCCAGTACCCTGGAATAGACCTTACCGGGAAGGCTGAGGAGTGTGATTCCCCTGTAATTGGAACACACCCTCCGGTCCCCCCTTCTTATACAGAGGGACCACCACCCCGGTTTGCCAGTCCAGAGGTACTGTCCCCGACCGCCACGCGATGTTGAAGAGGCGTGTCAGCCAAGACAGCCCCACAACATCCAGAGACTTAAGATACTCAGGACGGATCAGCTGCCTCAGGAGTCCCACGAGCCAACAAGACCCGATAGGACTCCTTCTTCAGCTTGACGGCATCCCTTACTTCCGGTGTCCACCACCGGGTTCGGGGATTGCCGCCGCGACAGGCACCACAGACCTTACGCCCACAGCTACGGGCGGCCGCATTGACAATGGAGGTGGAGAACAGAGCCCACTCGGACTCCATATCTCCAACCTCCCCCGGGATCTGGGAGAAGCTCTCCCGGAGGTGTGAGTTGAAGATCCCTCTGACAGAGGGTTCCGCCAGACGTTCCCAACAGACCCTCACGACACGCTTGGGTCTGCCAGGTCTTTCCGGCTTCCTCCACCGCCAGCGGATCCAACTCACCACCAGGTGGTGATCGGTTGACAGCTCAGCCCCTCTCTTCACCCGAGTGTCCAAGACACGCGGCCGGAGGTCAGATGACACGACGACAAAGTCGATCATCGACCTCCGGCCTAGGGTGTCCTGGTGCCACGTGCACTTATGGACACCCTTGTGCTCGAACATGGTGTTTGTTATGGACAAACTGTGACTAGCACAGAAGTCCAATAACAGAACACCACTCGGGTTCAGATCAGGGAGGCCGTTCCTCCCAATCACCCCTCTCCAGGTGTCACTGGCGTTGCCCACGTGGGCGTTGAAGTCCCCCAGTAGAACAACGGAGTCCCCAGTTGGTGCACTATCTAGTACCCCTCCCAGGGACTCCAAGAAGGCTGGGTACTCTGCACTGCTGTTCGGCCCGTAGGCCGACACCACAGTGAGACCTGTCCCCGACCCGAAGGCGCAGGGACGCGACCCTCTCGTTCACTGGGGTGAACTCCAACACGTGGCGGCTGAGCTGTGGGGCTATAAGCAAGCCCACACCAGCTCGCCGCCGCTCCCCGCAGGCAACACCAGAAAAATGGAGGGTCCAACCCCTCTCGAGAGGTTGGGTACCAGAGCCCAAGCTGTGCGTGGAGGTGAGGCCGACTATATCTAGCCGGTACCTCTCAACCTCCCGCACAAGCTCAGGCTCCTTCCCCCCCAGTGAGGTGACGTTCCACGTCCCTACAGCCAGGTTCTGTGTCCGTGGACTAGGTTGCCGGGATCCCTGACCCCGACCTCTGCCTAGTTCACAGCGCACCGACCCTATGAAACCTCTGCGGGTGGTGAGCCCACAGTCGTCCTTCGGGCTGAGCCCGGCCGGGCCCCGGGCAAAGGCCTGGCCACCAGGCGCTCGCTTTCTAGCCCAACCCCAGGTTCATTTTACTTGTCAAATGAAATGTACTCAAATGATAAAACTCATCATCTTAACTTGACTAGATTTAGTTGTTTGCAGTGTAACAATAAAACACCTGCAACTAAAGACTGAGTTAAGTTTAAGGCTACACTTTGGAACATTCCAAGCAAAAAAAAGTTGATGATATTTAGTAGACAAGACCAGTAAATCATGCACCCACTGGACTAGAAGTTAGTGGTGTGATTCCCTCTCCCTCCAGTTGTTACAGCCCCAGACCTCCAGTTTTGACTTGTTTTGTGGGTTTTAACCCTGTGTTTGATTATCTTCTGATTCGTCACTTCCAAGCTTGAAGCATAGTATTATGTTTCGCGTGTCGGACTCGGCGAACCTCGCAACTACACCGACTACCATACCCATAGGCAGTGATACAGATGCGGTGAGGTATTGCAGTAATGCGAGTGACTGACATTGTCATTTAAACCACCAAAGTGTCCAAACACAATAAAAACATTTCATATTTACACGTCACAGTGGGCGGAACCACTTAGGATTCTGACTCAGAGTCCTTGTTTGGTCTACTTTTTCTGCCACCGAGTTCTGAGTCGCGCTGTCCCAGGCAACTTCCTCGGAAAACTGTCTCAGAAGGATAATCAAATGCAGGGTAATTTCTTTTGCTGGCTGTACTCATTTCTGCTGTGAGAGCCCTGGTCCGTAATTGGTGGGGCTTGTCTGCACCCACCTCACCTGCAGCCACCGCCCCCTATTTAAGGAAATTGCCAGCAACTGTTTAGGCTGCTGGCCTCTGTGGTCTGTCTGCCATTTTGCGAGTGTCTCTTTCGTGTCAGTTATTTTGTTTCTTTAGGTTATTTATTTTATGTACATATTTTGGCATGTTTTGTTAATTTACCCTTTTACATTCCTGTTAATTAAACATTACTTAATTTATACCATTTTCCACATTGTTTTTTTGTTACTTCCCTGACACAGTGCATACTGCCATCTTTGTCCTTGTCCACAGTGTAAACTGAACCTTTTGTACACAATTTAAACACAGTTCTTGTAAATTTAAAGTCAAGAAAACACTGAACAGTTGAAATCTTTGTTTAATACATTTTTATAGCAATAATATACCCAGTTGTAGTGTTGTCCTTGCTTTACCTGTGCCATTCATCTTTATATGTACCAAAAACCTACAACAATTCACCAAAGAGAATAAATAAATAAATGAATACGAAATATCAGTTTTGGTTGAGCTTGAGTAATGGTCTCCCCTCACCGCGTGTTATAAAGTACCCTTACTGCTCCTCTGATGGTGCACATATGCTAAAGTGTGCATTTATTCATTGTCTGAGGTGAGGTCCACGCTGCTGTAGCCTTGTGTTGTTGTTATGAGTTTGTGATTTATGGCGCTGCACTGGAGGCTTCTCAGAGTATAATTAGCCAATCTCAGTCTGTCATGTGCAATAAGAGCAGAGCCGGCAGAGGATCCATCTTCCTCGCTCCATCTCTCCTCCTCTTCCTCTGCTCAGACTGTGTTTTCCTCTGTCTCGTTGTGACCCCAAATGGCTTCACTTTGATAAATTCTGGACTGAAGTAGCACATTTCATTTACACCAATGGAGCAGTGAGTTAAGTGTGGAAGTTCTGTATTTTGTAGCTATGTCTTTGTGTTTAGACTGATGCCATGGAAATCAGTAGGAAAATGTATTGATCTTTGTCTGTGTCAAATCTGGTAAGCAGGGTGGGCTTTATTATGACGTGGATGGGAGACCACTGGGAATAGCAGACGCTGTTGTGTGGCAGCAGTGGCTCTAGTGCAAACTGATGTTGTGCTCTTAGGCAAGACAATTCACCCACCTTGCTTATGAAGGAATGCAGTGAATCAGTGCTGGTGAAGGGCGTAGGTTTGCATAGGCATGGTGGGGACATGTCACAACCAATATTTGGGGAAGACAAACTAATCCCTACTAATATTTGCCATTTTATTTTAATAAAAAAAAATAAAAAAATTGATTGTGATATTTTTCCAAACTCAATAGTATTAATTTAACATATTTTAGTTCACATTTTGTTTATTAGACGTTCTGAGATGTATTTAGTGATATGACGACAGGGTTACCCCTGCTGCTTTTTCATTGGCTGTAACAGAGTGATGTCATTAGTGGAGCCAGGAGCCTAAACTGGGGAAGCAGCAGGACAGTGTCAGCACCCAAAGATGGCGACTTGAGCAGGCATGAGTGAAGACGCTGCGCAACAAACTTTTCAAAAGGAACTTACTTCACTTCATCTTCAATTAAACTTGCCTTATAATGAGTCGCCGCAGGAAAAAGAGCGACTATCACCACTAGTGCACCTCCCAAACGGAGCCCTACTCGTGCTCTGTTAGCAGCCAGACTCTACTGGAAAAATGTTTGGACAACAAATATCTCATCACAAACAAGCAAAGGGAAATCTGCTTCAAACTTCTACATCAACGTTATCCGGTATCTTAGAAGGGCAATGGACACAAACTGTACATTTTGCAAACTGAATCCCCACCAAAGCTGACACCAAACCTACGCCCTTGGTGCTGGTGCAAACTGGCTGCCTCACTTTCTGTCTACACCAGAGCAGAGTAGCTTTAGACCAGGGGTCTAGACTCGCGGCCGGGGGCCAACTGCGGCCCGCGGAAGGATTTTTTGCGGCCCTCCACTTCATTCCAAAGATAATGTCTGCGGCCCGCAGTTGATGGCACAATCCACCCCCCTACCGCGGGCCGCACTGACAGATGAAGCTGCAATCGGTGCCCATGCAGATTCACAACAACAGATTATTAACGCATCTTACATCCCAAAACTCAATTTACAGCAGTTGTGAAGCAACGAGTCTAAGTGGATCTGTTAATACCAGTACACGTGCACATACGCACGAAGAACCAAAACAAACCACACATGGTGGTACACGTGTGCGCACTTCACTTTACGCTCCCACAACCACAGTATAAGAAATAAAAAGACATTGACAGTCTGTTTACCTGCTCAACACTCGGTGCGTAACTTGCTGGCAACCCGATGACCAAGCTCCACATGTGTCGCCGAAATCCACGTGCACTCAGCGGCAAACACAGCTGTCCCATCAATATACAAGCACGACAAAACTGCAGTGATCTATTCCAGAGGCTTGGCGACACGTTAGCAAAAAGTACGAGGCAAAAACAAGCGTCTTCCATCTATGTTTGACATACGAGAAGCAGATACACTCCAGTGTGGTGCTTTCACACCGGCAAACGAACCAAAACTGGTCCGATTAACGAGCCTCTGTATCCCGGTAGAACAGCGATATCTCCAGTAACCAATACTGATGTTCCCTGTTAATACCGCGGGCCGTCCTCATCTTATCACCATGAACTCATAAGCCCAGAGTTCGGGTAACAGCAGCAGCCAACAGCGTTCACAGTAGCGCGCAGCTCCTCAGGACGGCGCTGGGGTCTGGTCCTTGGTCTTCTGTCGTCCTACAAGCGCGTTGGCCAGATGGTCCGGAGGCTCTGTCCTCCATGTGCTGGTTCCAGACGGTGGCGAGCAAGACCAGTGCGCAATGACTGGGTCTGAGCGGGTATGTTCCGCCGTCTGCGGTTCCGTGCGGGGAAAGTGAGAATGCGCTGTGGACTACAGGTCTGTGCTGCTCCGGTCCTCCGCGCTCAAGAACCGCGGCTGGTTCCGAGGTGGTGCAAAGCATCCGGACAGAAGCGTGAATCCAGTTTAGTTGGTGTCCGTCCTCCGCGCATTTGGTTCTTCCCGGGGAAAGCGCTTTTCACTCTCCGTCCACGTCATCTGAGCCCGGACAGAACCAGAGCTGCTCTGCTGGTTCGGGACTCGGGTTTGGATCTAGTCCGACTGATTTCTCACACTAGGCTAAAAGCAGGACATTTTTTAAAGGTGAATCAATTGAATGGGCATTGCCTATTGCCATAAAATTATTTGGTTAATTAAAGCCTAAAATAACATATGCTGGTTCCTACATGATCACGGGGAACACCAGGACACACCCCCATTTTTGACTCACTCTGGAGCCACACGTTCGCACGTACTTGCTCTGATGTTCGTGTGTTACATTCTCTGTATTGGCCATTGTTGGTAAAATAATTTGAAAATGAATCGCGGCTGCGTCTGAAGAACAATCTGTTACTGTGTTGGAGTCGTACAGCGCGTCATTACAGGCAAAGGACTTCTCCCATGATGCTTTCGATAGTTCGTTTGGACCTGCTGTCTATGATTTGGACTGGTTCACACCAGAGGAACCGCACCAAAGTTGTCATTTGGTGCGGATTCAAGCGAAACAAGACCACCTGAGGTCTATCCGCTTGAGTTGTCCGGGTCAGAGTCCGACTGACGACACCAGCGCAAAAACCGGCTAACCACTTCTGGTTCGAGGAGAAAATACAGCACCTGGTGCTCACTGATTGTCCCAGTGGTGGTTTGTGGGATGACGCTAGATTTTACTACAAACTGTTGTGGCTAACATTTTAATCTATATTTTCTGTAGAGGTTACCTTGGCGCAGGTGGAATCGGGGACAGTGGTCTTTACCCAAACTGCACTGGAGGAGCGGCAGGACTCATTGACCGCTGGATGTTTGGAGACAACATGTTCAGATATCCCACCTGTAGAGTGAGTAAAGCCTGTTTTAGCTACATTTACGCATATTTATAGTCACATAAAAATAAAAGGTACAAACTGAACCATGTCTCTGTCTCTTTTTTCAGGAGATGTATCAGACCACGCAGCCCTTTGATCCAGAGGGTGTCCTGGGCACAATAAACTCTGTACTGATGGGGTTTCTGGGGATGCAGGTGAGACTGGTCTAATATACTGTACACTGAGAGAAAAAGGAGCAGTCACATTTGCCCAGTGGTGTAGTGGGGATTTTTTAAGTGGGGGTACGCGATTTGTGATGCCATTGATGTGATGAATTCCACCCTACTCCCCCAACCCCATTCACATCCACCCCAAAAGCTGTACACTCAACTTGACATGCTGAAATACACACAAGTGTCATATAGATTGTCAAAATGATGCGGGATTGTGTTATTAACATTAACTCCATTCATAATCACCTACAGAACATAAATCATAGGCTACAACATATGAACCAGGAGGACTAAACCAGGACTAAACCAGGGCTGAACCAGGACTGAATCAGGACTGAAACAGAAACACTATTCCAGGACTAAAACAGGACTAAACCAGGACTTATCTTGGACTTGAGAGTGAGAGACAGAACCCCGAGTCCGCGGAGCAGGGTGTCCGCAAAGTGCGATTGGGCGACGGATGCGCTTACCCCATACTGGTCCTTTTTCCTGTGGTCACCCGACAGTCAGACCTGGTTCAGTTCTGGTTTAGACCTGGTTTAGTCCTGTTTTAGTCATGTTTTAGTCCTGTTTTAGTCCTGGTTCAGTCCTGGTTTAGTCCTCGTTCAGTCCTTGTTCAGTCCTGATCCCTCATGGGGCAGGTCACTATAGGACAGTACTGTAGATATCATGAGCCTGTGCAGTTTGTTTTCACCATTGCCAATAACTCCGGTTTGACATTTAAGTTATATCTCACATCAGGAGAAGTGGGTGGACGGCATACCCCCACATACCATGCCCACTACACCCCTGCATTTGCTCTGGTTTGGTGTTTGTTTGGGCCCTGTTTAAACCAGGCCCAAATCTACATTCAGACTTACATTTGGTCTGTACTAGTCTTGGTTTAGTTCTAGTTTTAGTCTCAGTTTAGTCCCTTGTTTGAGTTTAAGTTTGTGGTGACTGTCGTGTGTGACTGTAAGTGTAAGTAGTGTATTTCCTCCACAGTCAGACCTTGACCTTGAGTTATTGTAGCTGCGGTATGTATTTTTTTTTATTTTATAATTTGCCCATTTTAACCTTGGAAAAGCTTTTAGAAGGCAAATTCTTCAGCAAATACTGAATAAATGGCTTTCCTTTATTTGAATTTTCCATTAAGGCTAACCTCTATGAATATTTATTCCATAATCTACAAATTCAAAATAAAAATTGTCCTCAGCATTTGCAACTTGTATTTTAATGTAGGTTTCAAACAACATTATAATAATAGTAAAAAAAGGTCTTAATCCTGAATCTATGCACTTACATTTATACATAAACAAACCATTTTTACACAATTTTGGGCATATTGCTTCGATAAAGTCACATTAAACCCTGAATAATGTCTTCATGAGCTGATTTCCCGTCTGTTTGTGGACCCACAGCTGTCTCTCTTTATTGGCGATTTCTCCCAGAGTCCAAGTCCCTCCTCAGGTCTTTAGACTGGAGGTCCTGGTCCAGCCGGTGCCCCTCATAACCATTTGTGTTTGAGCCAAAAGCAGCAGCATTACTTTATCCCCAATGGACTGTTCATACTGATCCTGTCCGTCCACACATCACAGCCACCAGACCAGGTGCCCCCGGACTGCACTGCAAAAAACAACTACAGAGATGCGTTTAAAGACCTGGAATCAGCATAGTAATCTTCATCTTCATCATCTTGCTTTTAGTGTTTTTTTATTATTTTATTCATTAAAGGTTAATAATTTTACAGACGTGTTTTGTAAACATTTACACTGACAGAACTGCAAAAAACAACTACAGAGATGTGTTTAGACCTGGAATTGGCATAGTAATCTTGATTTAAGTTGTTTTTTACTTTTTAAAATTATTTTATTCTTTACAGGTTGATATTTTTACTTGTTTTCTTGACTAGGTGTACACTGCTAGACCTGCAAAAATCAACTACAGAGATGAGTTTAAAGACCTGCAATCAGTCGAGTAATCTTCATTAAATTTTTTAAAATAAGTTTTATTTATTGGAGCTAGATAATTTGACTCGGTTCACTTTTGATCCTTGCAGCCATCACAAAGATCTACAGAAATCAGATTTAAACCTTTTTTGCCTTTTTGCTTGAAAACTAAAAATAAATAAATAATTTTTTTTTTTAATTCAATTTGTCCATTGAATTTTGATGGACAAATTTGACTGAAATTCATGCAGTTATATTAATAAATCCATCCAATTCTATTCTATTTGCATTCAAAACAAATTAATAAAATAGAAAAATGAATAAATGTTTGATTAAATACTGCAGATAGTCTCTTAAGTTGAAGCAAGACCATGTAAAAATGTACATTAGCAATACAATAAATCTCTTATCTCAATAAACACTTGAGTATTTATTGATATAACAGTGATTTAAATTTAAAAATTATAGACTCAGCAAAGTCTAACAAGTCAACAAGTGAAACAGACTTAATATAAAAAGCAGCAAGTCAACGTCATTCAAATGTGGTATTCCTTTTTTGCAGTGTTGCTATTACCTAAACCCATGCAAACGTCTGCAGCCGAAAGCTATTTATCATCACCAAATTAATCAGGAGCGCGAGTGAGTACAGCCCACATCTGCCTCATCAGGACGGGGCAAAACCTCCGAGCCTCTGCCAACACTGTCCCAGGCCTATTGGGTTTCCTCAAGGACAAGTGCCATAAGGGAGCATTGAGTAGTTTTATGATTAGAAGTTTATGATATGTGCAAAATTTTAAATATTAAGAAAAAAGTTAAAAATCTACAAAATAATAATAATATAATCTTTCATGCAATAGATGATATATTTGCATTTTGGTGGTTACTTTTGGTTACTTTCATTTTTGTGCAATACTTCAACCTAAACCAAGGCATTAAGGGTACATCCAAACTTGAAAAATTAGGATTAAACTGGGAGTAAACCTGGAACTAAACCTAGACTAGACCAGGACTAGACCAGGACCCTACCAGGACAAGAGTGAATGCATGCTCATATACATGATTTAGCACATTTCTGATGCATTGTGAAAATATGATCTGATTATTGTTAATTGAATCTATTTATTTCTTCACAGGCTGGGAAGATTATCATTTTCTACAGAGGGTCCAACGTCAGCATCCTGGGACGGTTCGGAGTGTGGGCTTTGCTGTTGGTAGGTAACACTGGTTTAATATGGAGGATTGCAAGTAAATAAAGAAAATCCCATATAGCAGGTTTATGAGACACCTCTGATCCTATAAAACAAGGTGTTGTTGGACAAGCACAAACGGTTCACTGGTGTATTTTTACAGTGTTAACCTTGAGTTGTGGGCTATATGATACTTCTTTCTCTGCTCTCTCTCAAAAATGTGAAAATATTTCATGCATAACTGAAATGGTTGATGATGATTTGCAATATGTTTTTCTATTAGGTTATTATCTTTTATTTAAAGCAGACCTATTATGCAAAATCGTCTTTTTAGAGCTTTTAACCATGTTATTGTTGTTTCTCTTCTCATTTTCCCTCTCGAAGTTGTATTGTGCCTATTTGAGCACTCTTATTTTCAAGACACCATATCGCTAATTGTAGTCAAGACCGCACTAATCGAGACCAAGATCTGTCCGAGACCACAGGGTCTCAAGACCAGGACAAGACCAAGACCTCTGAGGGTCGAGACTGAGACAAGACCGAAACTTCTAAAGGCCGAGACAGAGACAAGATCAAGACCTCTGAGGGTTGAGACCGAGTCAAGACTGAGACCACGACCCATTAAGACCAAATAAAGACCATCTTTGTCATTTTCGACATTTATTTAAATTTTACAGTTATTTTGGCACATAAATATATATGTATCAATGTTTTTTATAAGTCTATCTCCATTTTATCACTTATTGAGTGTCAGACCTCGAGACTGAGACAAGATTGAGTCCAAGCACCTTTAAGACTGACACAAGACCAAGTTTAAATGGAGTCGAGCCTGAGGCGTGATCAAGACCACAAAAAAACAGTATTGAGGTCAGTCTCAAGACCAAGACTGGTCTCGAGTACAACAACACCTCTGTGACACCCACTGCTTCGGTCTTCAGTTTTATTTCTTAGTCTTAGTGATACGCGTAGGATTCAGTGGTGCGTAGTTATTTTGATACAAATGAAAAAAATTAACTACTCACTGGTGTGATCTTTAACTATCCATATGAGCGAACGACAACTACATGACTCTGTGTTGTGACATTTAGGGGGACGTGCACTGTGTAACTTTACTGCAGGGGGGTCCGCCACCTGCTTGTCTCCATGGAAATCTTTTGCCTGGAATAATCCACAGAATGGCATTAGATTATAATAATAATCTCAGTGAGCAGTGAGCCGTAATCTGTTTTTGAACAAATGCATCATTAATATCCAACAGTTACATTTGCTCATTTAGTCAGTCTACACTGGGTTTATTGTAACTAGATTACATATGTCATCATAACCTGTTACTTTCACTACCCTACAGTACACAACTATGTTTCCTGACACTTTAAATCAATTTCTAATTTAAAACCTGGACACAAATCACTTCTCTCCTCCCCCAGGTGTGAGTCACAACCATTGTCTCCGTTTAATTTCCTCTGCTCAGGTGGACCAAGCGTTAGTCATGGGCTCTATCATTAGACCTGTGTGTGTGTGGACATGTTTACCAGGACATGTGGTGACTCACGCCTTATCTCAGCGTGGGATTTTTGACATAAATTGTTAATTGTTAAAGTAAAATGATTAAAAGTTTGCGTTAGTGTTAGGATTGATGGAATAGGTACGTTCAGATGTTGCACTGATTTGTTTCTGGTTTGAGCCTATATATTTAGAAGTACCTTGTCCTGTTTAAGTCTTGGTTTAGTCCTTTAGTCTAGTCCAGGTTTAGTTCTGGGTTTAGTGCTCCCTGACTATATTCAGGTGAGATTCAAACCCAGAGACTTGTTATAATTTGAGAGGTACTGGAGTATATAAAAAAAATAGACCCAGGACTAACACCAAAAGTAAATTTAATTCCTGTAGAAAAATACAGAGCACTAGAATGATTTAAAGACATATTCTTACTACATAGAGAAACAATAACAGAAAAATTTTTGATTCTGTAGGCTACAGAAGCAGGTTTGTGTATAGGTTAAATGATGATTTTGAAGGAAAAGTTTAGTTTTTTTTTTTTTTCCTAAGGTGTAGGTGGAATACAGTTTACACAAAAGAACTGCTGTACTGAATTCATGAATACTGTTATTATTATTATTGTATATACACGACTGGTCAAAAGTTTTAGAACACCCTAATTTTTCCAGTTATTTATTGCAATTCAAGTCGTGCAAGTCCAGTGAACAGCTTGAAGTGGTACAAAGGTAAGAACTGAACAGCCAGAGGTTAAAAAAAAGATAAAAGATACATAACACAAGTCCAAGCCTCTGCCAAAACTACCTCAGGAAAAAAGAACAAGATGGTAAAGCTTGAAAACATGGAGTGTCCAGAACAGTCTCCAGACTTAAACCCCATTGAGCTGGTTTTGGATGAACTGGACAGAAGAGTGAAAGACAAGCAACCTACAAGTGCCACACATTTATGGGAACTTCTGCAACAGACTTGGGAAGAACTTTCTGAAGAATATTTGATTTCTATTGTAAAAAGAACGAGCTACGAGTGTGTTCAGCTGTTATATCTGCCAAAGGTGGACACTTTCAGGAATCAAATATTTAGAATACATTTCGGTCAACAGTAAATAGTAAAAAAAATTTTAAAAAGTGTGGTGTTCTAAAACTTTTGACCGGTAGTGAGTATATATATTTTTTTCTTTGTGCTATCCAAGTTCTGGCTTGTTGTCTGCTGACAGCTGTTTTCTTGGCATCGTCATTTGTAAACAGGGTGAGACATTCGTAAGTGATTTGACTTCAGCCTAAACCCCTTTGGTCATACTTTTATGTGAAATGTTTGTAACAGTCTATTAAGAACATGATTAAGTACGTGACTGAAGAAAATAAACTATTACTACTACTACTACTACTACTACTACTACTACTACTACTACTACTACTACTACTACTACTACTACTACTACTCTCATAGTCTCAGTGTGAATGTGGAGAGTGAATGTTAAAACTAAAACTGATGAAAATTTAAAATTATTGTAAATCTACAATATGTAATGACCCCACAAGAAAATACAGTTGCGTTTCTGTAATCAGTCATTTAAAGATTATTTGTTTGGGTCGAAACCAAGTGTTACAGTTATGAACCAGAAAACAAATGTCCTTGTATTGTCCAAACAAAACCCATGTACCCAACAGGTGTGTGTATGTGCGTGTGTGGCACAGTTAAACAGCCTCGTGTGGAGCTGGTTTCTGGAGAGACACTTGCTTCAGGCCTTTGTGCTTTCTGTCTCTCTCTCTCTCTCTATTTGTCACTCTGTCTCTCTTCTATCTTTCCTTGCTCTCTCATCCTCTCTCTCTGTCTGAATGAGGTACATGTGTGTATAACAGTGTAAACAAGAGTAATGAGGAACACACCTGAGGAGGACAGAGGAAGTGAAAAGGAAACGCTGGTGAAATATATCTCAAACTAGACGACTAATAGTTTCTCTGCATGTTTTGTATTGATTCATGCTTTTTACTGTTGTTATCAGGTGACAATAACATAAAAACAATGAAAACAAATCAGTAAAGATTATATATTTAAGCAAAGGCATGTAAAATTGTGATAAAAACATACATTTGTCTTCCTGACATTGGGCTTATTGCAGTAGTTGCAGAAGTTTTTAATAATACTGTAGACAATGGTGTAGAATCTCCCTGTGATTTTAATGTAAAAAGACACATTCACTTCACCCATTTCTACATTTTACCCTGTGAGAGTTAAAGTTTTTGTAGATCTGTCATGTTGTGTTTTGATCTGTCCCGTTTGGGTGGTCTCTGAAATGCAGGGTAAATCGGAGCTGGCTTCTGTTTTTGAGGAGAGGGGGGGTCCCAGTGGGAGAGAGGTGTTACATGAGAGGGGCCAGACTTTGTTCTGATGCCAGCTTAATCCATCAAATAAGATGGACAGTTATGCATAGAGGATGCACTCAACTAGACTGGACTACTGTCTTGTATAGAGATAGGATCATGATTATAAGTGCAGAATTGTGATTGTGTGTTAGTTTAGGCTGTAGTTTATAGAGGGACACTTCCTGAAGGAGCAGAGCCTGAACTGAGGTGATGACAGAGCAGAGGGAGCTGGAGCCATTGAATTAAAACTGTGTCAAGAAATGAGAGGGAGTGAAGGGGACAGAGAAACACCATTGCAGAACTAAGGCTTCTAGTAATTCGTATTTTGAATATCTTAAAGGTACATGTGACAAAGAGGACCTGTGTCCCTGTTTACTCACATTTAATTTCTTTCATTTCAGTGTTTATAGTTTATTTTAAGAGCTTGAATGTAAAGGGGATTTAAGTGCTTGGAACAAATTAAATGGTTAACTTTAGAGACAAGTAAAGTTGCCATAATAACTAACCTGTGTGTGAATTTGTACTGACCTGGAGAGAGGTACTTCCTGTTGGGGGAACTATAAAATCAGTGCAGTTTGGCCTCAGTGTAGCCGTGTACACATGTTTTTTGTTTTTTTTTTTTTTTTCGTTTCATTTCTGTTGCTTTTGACTTGATTTGAGCAGTTATTTTTTGTAAATATGTATTATTTCTTTTTCTGCCACAATGCCATGATGACCTTGATTAAATATTTTTTTTGATGAAATGGACATTTTTTGAGTCTGCCTCCTGGTTCTGACCACATGAGCAGCTTCCCCACAGTACACTGTGTAACTTTTCTGGTGGAGAGCCACCTGCTTGTTGTCATAAAGTATTATTTGAAAGTATGGCATTAATGACCATATCGATCTTGTCTTTATCCAATTAAAAGGGTTTTAAGCACTCAAAAATACCCTGACAAACTTGCATTTCTGCAGTGAAGAAGGTCACCAATCCACAGATCGGACCTAAAACTTGGTGGTGTCTCAGTAATGCCATACTGTGGAATATTCCAATCAAAACAATAACATCTACCTTTCAATTCCATGTGATATCCTTTCCTTTTTTTCCCCATGAAAGCAGCCATGTTTGATATGGCTGGGCCATGCATGTTCCTGATAGTGATAATCCTGTGAATTAGGCCCATTTGA